ATCCGATGAATTCTCTCCACAAATTTAAATTTATTTTTTTTTTTTTTTTTTTTTTTTTTTTTTCACATAAAGTGCGTTACATCGAGCGCTGTTCTCTCTCTGTGTGTGTGTGTGTATGTCATTCGCAATCAATAAAATGTTTGACGAATAAAAAATTCTAAATCGACAGTAGCTGTTACATGGTCAATAACCGATCGTTCGGTAACATTTCGAAAAATCAAAATTTTTCTGAAGCAATCGAAATGTGAATTTTTTTTTACCAATCACGGTCGTTTAGCAGATCGACCAATCCACGTTTGACACTTAATCGTTGACGGGGAGGGGAGACGTTCCGACTTGCTGCTCTCTCGAGCCCGCCAGTTGCACTCTGCGCGCAATTGCATCAATTTCTCGCTGTTCGCGGGTAACGCGCATGTCATCCGAAATGTCAACAAAAAAAAAATCGATTGCGGCCGAGTGCAGCCGAGTGCAGTACACACTCCAGCATCTCGGTTGCGATTCTGAGAAGCGAAAGTGGCTACAGATGGCGCGCATCGTGTTTCGCGTGCGAAAACGTCACGTGACACATGTCAGTTTATTGTCACTAGATAGTGGCTTGAAAACGGCGATCATGACTCCTCTGTCGGCTTGCGATCATATTAGGCAGTATTGCAATTGGCAACGGGTCAAACACAAGCCCCCGAGATAAGTGATTAAAAAATGGCATCCGCGCCGACGTCGCACAATGAGGTTCCCCAGGAATTTTCTGTCAACAAACTTATACGTGTCGGTTATTACGAGCTAGAAAAGACAATTGGCAAGGGAAATTTCGCCGTGGTTAAAATGGCCACTCACGTCGTAACGAAATCTAAGGTAAACGACGTCGTAAATACCTTTCAGTTACAAACATGAGATCCGTCATCTTGTCATTAATATCTTCACGATAGCTATATGAGCATTGCTCTCAGGTTTACGTTCGTGATATACGCGTAATTACGAAGTACACATCACTTTTTAATGCAATTATACTTTGTCGACGATGTTCAAGTAGCTGACATTTACAAAAAAAAAGCACTCTTTATCTTGTTGGTAACGAGACAGGCTGCTTTTGCATTGTGTAAATTATTTTGTTTTTGTTGTGTATAAATTTCTTAAATCTTATCGCTTCTATATATATATATCGTCTATGTATATATTTGCCATTTACAAAGTACACATACATATCTATATGTGTACCTTATATCAAGCATATAAAAACTAAACTATCAGTATACAATACAACATATATGTACTATGCAGAAAACTCTTCAAGTGCAGCTGTCTCTGAGACTGAGATTTCAACTCAGATCTTTCTTTTTCTAAGCAATTTCTTCTAATTTCGTTCAAACTATCTTATTTCATTTAAATCATACATATACAAGCTGTTTCACTTGCTTATGAAACACAATTGTTAGAAATAATTCTCTTTAAAAAATTGAGTAAACAAACTAATTTCATATTTAACTATTAACCATATATGCGGAAAACATGTATATTTAGTACAAATATAGTATATGTTTAGAAATTTTTCTTATGAAACTGATAGAAAAGTTTTATTACAGTTGTCTTTGTGATTTATTATAGGTTGCTATAAAAATAATAGATAAGACTAAGCTAAATGAAGAAAACCTAGCAAAAATATTTCGGGAAGTACACATAATGAAAAGGTTACGACATCCACACATTATAAGACTGTACCAAGTAATGGAAACAGAAAAAATGATTTATCTAGTGACAGAATATGCTCCTGGTGGAGAAATATTTGACCATCTTGTTCGCAATGGCAGAATGCCTGAACCAGAAGCACGAAGAATTTTTCGTCAAATTGTATATGCTGTTCAGTACTTGCATCAGCAGAGAGTGGTTCATCGAGATCTTAAGGTTTCATTGTATTATATTTATTGTATATGTGTGTTGTACACATTTATGCAGATGCAAAATATAAATACAATACAATGTGTATATGTTAAAAATTACAATGTGTATGTGTATAAATTACATAAATAATAACGGTAATAATTTTAGTTAGAGATGTTCTTGCTGTAATAAGTATATAACTTCTTAAGTGTATAACTCATTTTCTTTTCTCAGGCTGAGAATTTATTGCTTGATGCAGACAATAACATAAAACTTGCTGACTTTGGATTCAGCAATGAATATACTCCTGGTGTTCCTCTGAATACGTGGTGCGGATCACCACCGTATGCTGCACCTGAAATTTTTGAGGGAAAACAGTATGACGGGCCCAGAGCTGACGTATGGGTATGTTCGTTGTTTGTATCAATACTGACATATTAGAATTCTTATTGTAGAATGAACCATAGAATCTTTCACTAAAATATTCAGACATTCTATATATAAATATATATGTAAAACAAAACAAAAAATTATTCTACAGTCTTAATATATTTTTTCACATTATTATTTTTTTTACCCAATGTACATTACTTTTACAAGATGTGTATTGTGCAAAATATTCTATATAGCTTAGTGTAAATGACGTTTCAGAGTCTTGGCGTTGTCTTGTATGTACTAGTATGTGGTGCTCTACCATTTGATGGACCTACAATGCACTTGTTACGATCTGTAGTTGTCTCAGGGAAATTCAGAATTCCTTTTTTTATGTCTGCAGGTAGATATAACAAATTGTATGTTTGCTCTATGTAATAAGTATGCAGCAGTCTTTAATTATGTTTATAGAATTAATATAACAATTTAATATTTTTAAGTCTTTTTAATGTTTAAGATTTGTGTTTCAAATATTTTTTTATTTCTGTTTTGCACGAAATACATTTTTTCAATATGCATGCGCAAAGAGAGTTACTTATGTAAACATTTTTGCTTTAGAGTGCGAAAAATTGATCAGGCATATGTTAGTGGTAGAACCAGAGCGCCGTTTAAGTATTTCACAAATCTTAGCTCATTCGTGGATGGGTGGAGATGGAGTAGTGGAATTAGAACCTGGAGGGTACGTATTGTGATGTAGCATATTCCCCTTAAAATTTATGTGACTTAGATTGGTTTTGCCATAGTATGTCTTGTAATATTTTATCATTTTACCTTTTTACATTCTCAGATGTACCTCTGATGTGAGCGTATCACCACAGTTAAATCAATTAGTAATAGAGAGTATGCTAAGGTTGCCTGGACTTACCGCAGATACATTGTTACAAGCCATCAAAGGAAATACTTTCGATCACGTGTCGGCAATATATAATTTACTTGTCGACCGATTAGAATCGACTATGCCTAATTTACCCAGTATCCAAAGTATACCGGGTGATTATTTGCCAGATGGTGCACATCAATTGGAAAAGGTGATTTGTACCAATAAAGCTATAATGCAAGTTTTTAGAAGAAGGTAGCAAGACGTTTGTCCATTTTTTACTTTTTAGAAGTATAGAAATTTTATATGATATTTAAGTATACATTTTGCAAGTTTTTTGATATGAAAACATAATTATTTAAAAAAATTTGTTGACATACAGTTTGGCGAAGCAGAAGCAGAAGTAGATGATAAGAGTACTCTTTATTTGCCACTTGGGACTTCGTACCACACAACAAGAAGACATACAGTCGGACCTGGTGACGCGGTGCATCAGCCATCTACGTCATACCCTTACAATCACATGTCAGGATATCAAACATTACGGCCTTTTCCAGTTCTTCATTGTAATATGGATCCTCAAGTTTTACCACACACAAATTTACCACTAAATCTTCCTTTAGTTCAACATCAACCGCCTCAAAACTTCCAAATAAAAGACCAGCATTTATTAAAACCACCTCCTGTAATGGGTGCCAGTAAGTTATTTTTTTTTCCTGTATACATTTGTTGTTAGCCTTAATGTTGCTAGCATTTAATTAATGTTGATTTTTATAAACAATAAACTATGTGTTTCCACGGGTGTTTGCGTGTTATATTAATATATTACATACTATCTACAGCTGGAAGCTTCGGTAGAAGAGCTTCGGATGGTGGAGCAAATCTTCATATATTTCATCAACAACACAGTAATAACGTTACCAGCGACGAAGATAGTGGTTGGAGTCAACCTGGTAGCAGAGAACAATTACAACCTGTAAGTGTATTGCAAGCATATCTTGCATGAACTTTTTGAAATTATTAAAGTGTACATTGTGGCAGTTACAGAGTGGCAGTTCAGGTTTAGTACAATGTGCTCAGTCGTTAAATGTTGGCGTTAGTACTACAAACGGAGACGGAAACAACAACACCTGTAGCAACAGCAGTGGCGGAAATAGTGATAGAAGAAGAAGATCTGGTTTAAGCACCGTTATGCAACGGCCAGGTAAGGTATAATTCAGTTTTGAATATATTGAGCTTTTTTTTTTCTTTTTTGCAATTAGTAATTAAGGTTGCACGACTTATAGTGCTTTTTTTAATATTTGTATTTTATTTTTATCACTTTATTTTTTATACAAGCTGGCAGAAGTAATTATGTATATATTGATATATGATTTTATCAACATGTAACAAAGTTTCTAAATAAATTCAATTTTGCATTCGAATTACTTTTTCCAAAGTCAAAAAAAAAACGTCTTTGTTATAAAAGAGGATCTTAATAAAAAACAAAACAAAATAGGAAATTTTATACAAACGTTTATTTGTTGATTGTACATTGTGTATTTATATTGTGTGTGTGTGTATACATGAGAATGTGTGTGTTTCAAAAAAATAATTAAATAAGATTAATTCAGGGTTTAGACTTTAGTTTGAAATACTTAAAAGAAAAAAGATTCCGTGAACTAAACTTAAAATAAAATGATATAATATAAAATACTTATATTTTTTATGTCCCATGTAAATTTTACCCCAGAAATGTGATTTGAGATTTAATTACAAGAATATACAATATCGATACGGTGATATATTGTCCATCCAAATTACCTAAAAAAAAGTTATCCTAATTTATATTGCGGTTGTAGATCATATGTACTCTTTTGAGGTTGATTGACGTACATATATACAAGTTGTGCAAGCTTTTACATTTTTTTATGTTACGTAATCTTATTATATTTCTTTATAATTCATGGTTTTTACTATTTTATATTCAGTTTTTTGGTTTTTTTGATTTTGCATGTTTGTTGTGCACTGCACTTCCACACCTCGATTGGTAATATGCATGTAGTTATAAAGCCAGAACTGGTAATGGAGGTAGAAGCTAGGATGAATAGAGCTTATCTACCATCACGACTGTTACCACCTCATCTTAGAGGATCGACACATCCACACCACAGGAAATCTTCATTATTTCAAACTAGTGCTGGTAATTTTTGTACTTTTGTTAATTTTGCAAAGGTTTTGTTTTATTTGCACAATCTTTTATAATTATGGAAGTGTGCGGATATTTGAAAAGATCAAATTGTATGTTGAATATGAGAAGTTATAAGCAAGATTTGATATCCGCATGAAACATTGGATATCCGCACATACATATGAGAAGAGCTTTTTTATATTTATTCTTCTTTTTATTTATACATAATTTCTTCAATGTATATATGTGCATGTAGGCATATATACATTTATGATACACCCATATATATTTTTTTTTACATATATAATTAATTATAATTAATGTGTATGAAAAATAAAAAATGTAATATATCTTGTCACGATGAAAAAAAAAAAACAGGTTTGTATATGAATATTTCTTTATTTTTTAAGACAGAAGAGAAGTCAAAATTCTTTTTTGAGTCACACAAACAACAGATCTTATGAAATAAACATTTTGTTTATTAATCTAAGTTAAGTATGTGAATAAAAAATTTTTATGTATCTCTGCGACAATACGGATGCGCATCGCTTCTTTATGGGTCGAAATGTATTTCTAACTTTATTTTATATTATTAATTTTAGTAAACAATTCGTATAAAGAGCCAAGCAGCCATGTCGCTGCTGAAAGATACTCACCTGTTCGTCGGGCGTCGGAAGGGTCAGGTGCTCCAGGACCAGGCATTCAAACTCTTCAACAAGAATATCAACAATTACAAAGATTAGCATCTCCTTCACATAGTCCTGCAAGTATTCCTGGTTCTCCGGTGCACGAGAGAAATGTAGCAGCAATTACACAAGGTAGTATTAACCTAGTATAAAAACTAGATAACGATGCGAACAATTTTCAATTTTCTGTCTTACCGTTTTAATGAAGGTCTCAGTGGTTTAACTACAACGTCAGTACAGGGTAGTATTGTACACGGTACGCCGGCACAACCACCGGCAACACCTTTAGACTTAAGTCCACTCAGGCATCATAGATCACCCGCTACTACCCCTGTAAATTACTCCCCCAGTAACAGTCCGGCGTTGGATATGATACAAGAAGAACATCATGTAGAAGTACCGAGGGTATGTAATGTTCACTAAACACTGATTTTACTAAATAAATAGAATATGTTTGTTTTTCTTGAAGAAAAAAATAATACGCAAGAAAATCATGATAACGTTGTCGCGCGCTTATTTTACTTGAACATATCTTGTTTCACGATTTGTTTGTAGGTACCACCACAAATTTCAGTGACGGATGTTCTTGGGGGGCAGGTGACGTTAGTTAGTTGCTCGCCCTCTCCGTCTCCGTCACCTGATTCGCTCGAAGACGCGTTACCTCGTTATAACAACACTCTTCCGAGTTTCACAATTACAGAAGTGTGCGATACTTCGAGACCCAGTATCACACGCGGCATTGGTAGAACACTCAGTATGATACCTACCGAAGTTGAAGTCACACTGTCCGACGAGTCAAGCAGATTGAATTCCGAGGCTATATTAGGTCGTGTAAAACAAATAATAGACGCGAGAGCGCCACCGAAAGGTTTCATATTCTCGAATGAGGAGGTAAAAGGTAGCGGACTTAGTTTAGAATATCCGGGTGGCGTACAAATCGAACTCAGAGTATGTGAGTCGGAAGAGCGGGAAGCGAAGGGGATAAAAATGCGTAGGATTAGCGGGGACCACATGCGATACAGTCAACTTTGTCAAGAATTGATTTCGTGTATTACTGTTTGACGACAACCATCATATAATGTAACTTTTTTATACCTTACGTTCATATATACATATATATATATTTATGTACGTGCATATAAATATAAATATATATATATATATAATATGTGTATACATTCCTAGTGTACATACACTGTTCATCACAGTATTGCACATACATGCTGCATACACACAAACGGTATTTTAAAAATTGTCATTTTTCATGTTATTATTGTATATTCATAATAACCATTCAGTATACTAGTTTTTTTTTTCTTCTCATGTTAATTGCTTCGAGAAACTACGAGCCGTCTTGTTTGTAATCGATCGTGATCTTTCTTACAAACAAGAAGAATATGTACGAAATATATTGTAAAAAAATATGGTTATATTGACCATGTTCAGCAGACTGAGCAGATCAGTGAGCGCTTAGTGATTCTTCAATATGATTGGTTTCTACACTTAGATCCAGCGAAGATCTATAGGCAAGATTCAATCATTAAAGAATCACTAAGCGTTCACTGATCTGCTCAGTCTGCTGAACGTGGCCATTATATACATACGTGTTTATGTATAAAAACAGTGTATAATCATATCTTTTGAAATACTTACGACTATCATGTGTGCACATGTTTAATCTTCGAAAAGTATACGTTTTTTCATCCTCGTTACTTTTTATCGATACGGGTATTAGGAAAACACATTGATCGAGAGCGAGAGAAAATTTTTACTCAAAATTTGTTTACACACCAGTTATAAAATAAGGGTTAACGTCCGAATGTACGGAACAGATCGCTGCGAGTTTATTCTGTAACTTTCAACGTGCAAAATGTATCAGACAAAATAGTCGCGCAACGCAATTGTCGTTGTAAGTTACAGAATTCGGGGAACGGGGGGATTGGTTTGTTTGACATGCATTTTACTCATGTTGACACATTCGCGAACTTTTGACGTAAGACAACTTTCGTGTCTGAAAAACAAAAACTGTCAACATAGTAATGTCTTCGTGATTTTTGTTAATTCAAAAATCTTTAATTGTTAGGTTCGAAATAGTATATCACGCAATCCGTTTATTTCAACGCATCGAACAAACGTTAATATTGTTATGTATAGGCGTGCGGGAGAATCTTGTAACTTTAAGTTTTAAGATCGCGCCAAAAGCAACGGTTCGAAAGTGATATAATTTAATATGAATCGAGCGTTGTTGTTGTTTTGTATCATAATTTTTAACGTTTCTCTCTTTCCGTCTATGTTCTTGATGTTAGATATACAATCGTAGACAGGCAATTGTAAATTGCCTCCTTTGTATTATTGGATATTTGTTAGATTATTAATTATACGCGGAGAAACGAGAGATAAGAACTATTATTATATTACTATTAATTATCATTATTATTATTATTATTGCTATTATTATTATATTATTTGTACTGAAGATATACAAATGAACATAGCTATCTCTTTCCTTGTGCCACGTACAATTTACAGCATGAAGCAGATCTACATAGCGCGCGTGCAATTTTACTAAAGAAATAAATATAGTCATGATGTAACAGAAACTGGTGACTTCAGTGAATGAATGATAATTACAAGAGCGTTCACACACTTCGACTGCAACGTGTGTATAAAATAAATTAAACAGTTTATAAATATGCGGAAGATGTGTTAACATGCAAACAGCAATATTTCGGTTAAAAAGGTAATTTTCATGTATAATCAACAATACATGTGCAATGAGTTTTAGTATAGTAAGACAATTATGTACATAAATTTGTGTTGTTAGAAAGCAAGTTGATGAATGAATGAATGTTTTGTTTTACTGTTAATACATGCAATCTGCTTTTTATTATTTCTTATCACTGAAAACTTTTTTTACATTTTGTGATATATAAACAATGCAAACTATTTAATGTTATCATTTTCTTTTATATATAATTCTTTTATTCTTTATCTACTCTTTTTATTTTAATAAATCATAAAATTGAGTTTTTTTGAGGGTCATATACATTGCGATAGAAGGTTTTGATATTTATTCATTAAAATTAATTTAAAATTAAATGATCATTTGTGTCCGAACACAAAATCGTCCAATTTCTTTCCTTTATAAAAAAAAAGTTTTTGGACTCTGAGCTGAATATGATCATCAGTTTTTTTGTATTTTTCTTATTATGTGTTTACTTTTTATCTAATTACATTTGTTTTAACACAATTATTTATAATTTGGAAAAAATGTTATTATTTCATTTCAAGATGTTATTTAACACACGTAAAGAAAAATTTACATCTTGGACATATGATTGCAAAAAATCCAACGCAGTTATCGGTGCACCAAGTTTTTTTTACAATCTAGAACGAAAAGTTTATTACTAGAAAATACAAATATGTAAAAATACACCAAAAATGTAAAGAATAATTTGGACGACTAAATTCCAAACCCGAGTCCAAAAAGTTCGAAACAATTTTGTCTGAGCTACGTGGTCAGCGATACACTTACCAATCTGCCAACAGAATCATATATCACGACCTGCGGGTAAGAATTATCAAACATCGCGGGATAATAACACTTAAAAAACAAGATATTATCAATAAACTCCGAAGTGATAATGTGTGCATAATGTTGTCGGTGTTGAAGACGAACCGTGTTGAAAGTCTGAACAATTGCCGATGCGCACCGCCTGTAATATTATGTGAATATTAGGCTAATAGAACGCCTGCCCGTCGACTGAAAATAGTTTTTATTTATTCGAAACGTTTATTTGAAAAACAAATATCGTTCGTCGTAATTTAATAAAAAAAATAAAGAAACGAAAAAGTATGAAAACAACATTTAATAAAATAGAGATTATCTCTTTTTGTTTCTTTATATGTATATATTCTGATATATCTTCCCTATAAATTTATATTTACTCAACTTACTCAAATATTTAATAAACAAACTTATTTTTAATAATCAATAATAAAAAAAAGTAGTATTCCAACTCGATATGATAACATTAAATAGTTTTTTTTTATATTTCATACATCTTCTGAAAGAAATAAACAAAACAAAAATGAAAGTAAAATTAAAAAAAAAAAAAACAAAACATGTTTAATCTTTTTTAAATTTTGGTTTTTAACAAATTCTTCTTAGTAAATTTTGTTTTCAAGCTTCTAGCAGGACGATGAGTTATAATTGTTCCCTCACACATTTCTATAGCCGTATTGCAGTACGCGTTTTATATTAACACACATTTTATACTCGTATATATATTCAAACACAGTAAAGATTCCTACGTCTTACATATGATATAAAATTATAAATACGATTTTGTAAAAAAAAGACAATTGCACGACATACGTATATATGTATATCGTACGATATATTTCGATTAATATGTACATACATATAAATATGAATTGCGCACGATGATAACGTATTGTGCGAACGTTTCGAGCACTCGTGCATAGTGCGGGGTATGTTAATTAATTATTCAACGTTGAAGATTACAGAGCAGCCCCGTTGCCAATCGATTTTGTAAAGGTATTTTAAAAAATAATGAAAATATATTTGTATTATATACGGGCGTGTGTACATAATGAGAGAAAAAAACATGTATGTTAAAAATCAGACTTAATACATATTAAGGAATATAGTTTTAAACTCTGCGCACTTCTCTTCTCATGTCGCTGAAAGTTCGGAACGTTCGTCGAGAGAAAAAAATGAATTTCGACGAAAACGTTTTAGGGTTTTCTTTTGTATAACACAAGGAGAGCGAATATATTTCGTCGTATGGTATTGACACATAATAAGACTTTCACTTTACGGAACAAGAGTCTGAGGAAGTCTGTATGTTTTTAAAACATAAATTTTTCGCTCGACGAACGTTCCAGACTTCGACGTATCTGAATTAAAACCTACCGTGAAACTTTCTTTTTATATTCTACGTTCTTTCTTTTATACCGTTTCAACCTCGTATTCACGAAATCTCACAAAGTGATATACAGTAGTCGCGATTAGTTGGTTGCACGCGATTCAGGACTGGCTATCCGGGGAGCGGCCTTGTTTATTTTCCACGAACAGTTCCACAAAACCCAGCTGCTCTCAGAGAAATAGATAAAAACAGGTCGGGTCGAACGTCGGAATGTGGGATCAAGGTATCTAGTGCGCGCGGAAAAAAATTGCACGCAGCTTGACCGCTGACTACTGTATGTTGACCGGCAAAAAAACCTTGCGATGTTTTATACACACAATTTATATATACTTCTTCCAACAAAAACAGGATTACTTTATTTTTGCTGTCCGTTGAAACTTTTTAGATGCACACTTTTACTTACTCTCTAACAGATCAGTTAACGTCACTTTTTAAGAACTCGGCTCGACTTTCTATCATCAGTGAAGGACCATCGGCCGAGAGACGCGAATTGAAATGTGGAATATTTATATTCTTGTACAATTTTTTTTTTTTTTTAATTTTTTTTATTGATTATTTGAAGGTTTATTGAACTAAGAGAAGCCAAGCTTTTGAAGCTGACGATAAATACACACAAGTCAATGTTGCTAGGATCACGGAAATTTATTTAAATAAATAAATAATGACATTGATAATTTTTTTTTTTTAATCGTTTTCAGAGTATGTATTTACTATTACATCACACACATCTAGTCATTCGTTTTACTTATCGTGTACCACATATTGCATCACATAGTATACAGCTATCTATAAAATATCTATAAAATATTTTCACACGTTTTTTTTTATACATATCCATAGAAAGTTCCGGCGACGCGAAAAGGAGTAAAGTAAAAACCACAATTATATTAAACTGTGCAGTCATTCTTTTATATACTCTTTTTTCAAGAAGATATAAAAATATTTCGTCAATTTTTTTAAAGTTTATATAGATCGTAAGTATTATTGCAGGACATGTGTTCATCAATCAAAATTGTTGAACATATGTTATTAATGTTTTTTTTTCTTTTAAGGCGAAAACCAGCGCTTTAAATAAATTCTACAAGTATGCGCTGCTTTTTGAGTATAGACGTTAACGAGAGACATTATACAACACCGCCACTACCGTCCGCCACTTACACGGCGAAACACAATTCACATGACAAAATTCAAAAAAGAAGAAATTATGATAAACAATATTACGTTGTAATACATACGTAGAAAACTTGTTTGTAGACGGACTGTTTTATACTCTCTATATATACGAAAAGTAATTTTCCGTCAGAAAACGAATCGTCGGAGAAAAACACAAATTTAGATGATAATTCACTGTGAAATATGCGCGATATAACAATATCAGAGTTCTTAGCCAGTTAGGATGTATAAAAAACCAGAGAGTATACATACACACAAATACACTGACGCGTGCGCTATAGTTCATCAATATATATATATGTATATATATTGATATTATTTTTCTATATATTTTATATATGTACCTATTTGTTTATCTTCGCTCTTGCGTAAAAATGTACCTTTGCGATTGATTGATGCAACTAAAAGCGCAGTTAGTCGATCGTTAAGAAGCCGTCGAAGAAACGTCTCCGTAGCACATGTGGTGTAGAAAAATAAATTCTCACTTATATATTAGGAAGATTTCGGAAGATAAAGGCACGCGACTATACGCATATTGCACACTCAGAGTGTATACGGATATTCCGCGAGATAATCTCTGATGAAGAGCGGCAGATGGTCGGTAGGTAGTTTGTGTTGATTGACAACTAGTCTGGCTAAGTGCGACAGCGATTTGACTTCCTTGAGCAGGGGCTTGGTCAAGTAGATCTGGCTGTACAGTTTACCGCTGTAATCGACCCAGACTTCCTTCCGGTGCTCGTCCATCTTCTTCGAATATTCGATGTAGTGCTCCAACATTCGGACGGGACATTTGAACAGCGGCACCGCGCACGCCAGCTGCGGGACCGTATCGAATCGGAATTTGCCAAGCCAGTAGTGCACTCTGACAGAAGTGGGACCTCTCGCCGTTTGTACCGACACCGCGAAAGTGTATCTGCTGTCCGAGCTGTCTCTCATCAACCACCGACCCACGGACGCGTGCTTCAAAATATTTTCACTTTGTTGCCAACTGATACCCTCGTGGTACCAACCGCTACTTTGCAACAACTTCTTCGTCTGGTGCAATATGTACACATCCCTGTCCAACAGTTCTGAGTCCAGGATCAGGGGTAGCAACCAAGAAACCGGAGTACTCGGCATTACTACATCTCCTTGCGTATCGTAATAATCATAGTTCTTTCCTTTCGCGATGGTTCCGATCCTCGTCGTGCAGTCGAACTCGTGGCCTCCGTAAACGATGCCCCCTCCGTTGAAAGCGCGCGTCTCCATAAAAGGAGCCTGGTTGAACGACGGCGGAGCAGCGGTAACTTGGTTAGTAGGTGTTGCCGTTGTTGCCGTGATATTTACTCTGCACTGACCCAGATTCGCGGGCAACTGCACGGTGGCGTTCACTCGAACCTGCACGCCACTCCCGACGGGTTCCAGCAGCAACGAGTCGCAATCAACGGGCGCGTTCGAGGAGGACGAACACTTGTAACACTGACAGAGATTCGGCTGAACTGTCGCCGCGTTGCAGCGACAACATCTGTCCGTCCCATTATTTTCTCCCAATGTTCTGATTGGCTGGAACATCTCTCTGTTCCCAGGTAATTCCGAACAGCCGCTCGGCGGTGCGTCAAGCGTCCGAGGTGAGTTGTCCGGACTGGTGGACAGTGTCTTCTGTACGAGGCAACCGCCGCCGGTGAGTTTCGGCTGAATCTCGGCTCGTATCACGATTCCAGCTTCCGTGTCGGACATACCAGGTGTGGTGATCGTCACACTGCCGCCAGTGAGCTCACACGTGGTCGCTATGTGTTGCTTCGACGTGATACCGCAATCAACTCTCTCGTTCGCCGACTCGTTTGTTAAAGAGATCTGATCTCTCAACTGATTCATCGGCGATTCCAGGCAGAGCGAACGTCTCTGCTTCACGGGCATCATTCGAGTATTATAGCAGACCTCCACTGTGTTGTCGTTGGAGCCGTAACGGATTATATCCGATTGAGAATGATTGAAAAGAGCGGGTTGATGAACAGTCGTCGGCGTGGCGTTTATGAAACAACCGCCGCCGCTGGTGCAGTCGCGTGGTACCAGAAAATTACCGAGGTAAGAAGTTGTCGTCGTCGTTGTCCTCGTCGCCGCCGCCGCCGGATGAATAACGCCGGCAGTGTTTTTCTCGCACTCCTGCCTTTCAGCTATTCCGTTCCAGCTGAAAGAAAAGTTCTTCTGCTCGGCTCTTTTGCTGGTTCCTTTGCTCGGCTCCTGGCAGCATTCCGCCGAAAAGCGGTGCCGGCAACTCGGGCACGTCATCGTGTGCATAGTGGATTCTCGCACGTTTTATACACCTGGATTTACACCGCAGCCGGCACAACAGTTGTCACGTATTCAGTCTGGAAACAACAAAAGCAGATAACATCACAATCGTGCGAAGTATAAAAATTTAACTATTATTATTACCATCACAAATGACACTACACGCGTAATTGAATCTTTGTAAACAGAATTTCTAATTTTCAGATGAATTTTTGGCTTTGGAAGGAAGCGACCAATCGCGCGTCGGGCCGTAAATTCGATCGGCGCGTTTGATCGAAATCGATTTTTCAATTAACCGGAGTTGGTTGAACCGTTTAAACAGGGTGAAAATTCCCGAATCGTTATTTTATTTCCGCGAAAGTGTATCATCGTCGTCACGAAAGCTGCTTATCGTTTCGCAGTAATCGCGGTCATTTCGCGCAACACGTGCTCTCCGATAAAGTTATCGATTTGTGTATCGATAAAACGTACTATTTGTTTTCGAAACGTTAACATTCTTTGCGCTCGCGGCAGCCGACACGGCGCGTTTTATCACCGGCGAGATAGGTATAGTGACACGCCAAAATGTTCTCGGGGAATTTTGTTTGTTGATGCAACGCGAGATAAATTTTTTTTTTTTTTAATACGTTCGACGACAGATCGACCGTACGATGTAAATGCGCACACAGATAGGTTTGTTTAAGAGAAAATACGACTAATGGTGAATAAATTTTGAAAATCGATATCTCGTAAAGTGTTTGTTCTACTATTCTTCATATCACTCGCGACTATCGGAGTCTTAACGACGACGAATGTTTACTCTTCCGTAATAACCAGCTGCAGAGCGCGCAACACAACTCTTCTCCCGAGAGTTATCTGATCACTTTGAACTACGAGACTTTGCGTCAGAGAAGAAGACTCTCGCGTCGAGAGAGAGAGAGAGAGAGAGAGAGAGAAAGAACTATATACTCGGAAAACAGAACTTTCTCGCGGAGAACTTCGAAATTCACAATAATTTTTAAGCGACTTCGGAACTTTCTTGGAAATCGCGCGACAATAAAAAAAAATCTCATTACGCGCGACTTCGACTTATTTTCGCACGAAGAAATTGACAATTTGTCTGCGCGTATTTCTATCCTGCGTGTCTGTCGCTTTCGCCACACACACACACACACACACACACACACGCATTTTGTACATAATACATTAATAATCCGCTTAAGTCTCCTTGCTTCGTCGCATATGTGTGTTGTAACAACAAAAACGCCCATTGCAAACGCGCTTGCGACTGTGCGTTCTCTTCTGTGTGCTATTGTAAAAAGCGTTTTTTACCTGCGCCGCGCATCTGTTTCATCTTTCTTTCTCTCTTTCTCTCTCTCATCTCCACATTCGTGCATTCACCGCTCGCTACTTCGAAGGCATGTGTTTCGTGGATAATAATAGCCGCCAGAAAAAAAAATAATAAAAAACATAAAATGGAATGCGTATATGTACACACATACATACATACACACACACACACACACGCAACGGAAAAAGAATTCTCGAAAAGAAATCTGTGGATGATGAAAAGGCCTTCTGGCGCGCGTTGCGACACTCGTCGTCCACTCTAGGAGGCCCGTGGCGAGTCCCCGCTTCGTGGAAGCGCGCGCCTTCGAGTGACTCCACGAATACTTCGAAATCAGTGACACGCGCAGTTCACGTACGAGAGAGAACGAGCCGCACGTAAACGACAGCCGATCCAACTGGGACGATGCGGCGACAGGAACGTATCTAACACGCATTCTACAGGCACTACACAAAATATATGTATATACATATATATTGTACATTATATGTATATTTCTATATTCGCTAGTTTAGTATAAATAAAAAAAAAAAAAAACCAGTAATCTCTTTTATACACAAAAAAAATATAAATGTCTCCATCGAGTTTTAATCAGTTGTGTAAAACAATCTTATTTCAACATAGTTTGTCGGATTAAGATGTAAATAAAACAAAGAAATTTCATATACAAATATATATCGAGTTTTCATCCGTTATTAAACACCGAGAGATTGAACAAGGCGAAAGGAAGCGAATTATTTTAACTCTATCTGTGTGTCATTAAAGTGTAAATAAAACGAATTGAGAAATACACGGGCGGTTAAAACGGCGGTTGTGCGCGGTTTTCGAGTTGGTGGAACGTGTTGTGTAAATTATGATTAACACGATATATAACTCTCAAGACCGAATATAAGGCCTCTCGATTGCGCAAAAGCGCACGTGTGTGTATCCGCGAATGGTTTTGCATTCGCGCTCACGGACGACGTGTGTGCGCGCTTTTCCCAACTGGGTCAAATTAAAATTGAAATTCAGGTTAATAAACATATCTCGGTCAATAAAATTGTTTACGAGGTAAAAATACGCGAATGTTGCCAGCCTTGAGTATATATCGAAGAAAGATTAATGTTCTCTTCTCTCCTTTTCTTCCTACTTCTTCTATCTATCTCTCTCTCTGTCTCTTTCTGGCACCACACAATCAATGCAGTATAAAATTACTGACTATATAGTATATACGTCACGCACCACAGACTCGCATGCTTCTGCACAAATCCGTATAAAAGAATGTGTCGAGAAAGAAGTGATATCTTTATGTAATATCAGACACGAACGAAGACTCGTGTACACGGTCTATTAAACATTTCGTCAGTGGTTCACGCTATGAACCACCGTACCGATGCTCACCAACACACACACATACACACGTCGCAAAAAGGGGTCACGTCTTTTCATTTTTTTCTTCTCCTTTTTTTTTTGCACAATTCCAGTTAAGGCTTCTATTTCTCGGTTATAACCGTATTGAAGTATGACGTGACGCCAAAAGCGCGAAATCATACAAGAGAGGAGAAAAAGAATAAAGAAAGAAGATAGAAAGAGAAAAAGAGAAAGAGAGAGAGAGAGAGAGAGAGGAAGGAAAAGCAAACAAAAATAACAAATGTGAAAATTTTTATTCGAGAAACCGGAAAACAATTCGAGAACGTTTCTCTTGCGTGTGGAATTTCAATTCTTCTGTTGGGAAAAAAAAGAAAAAAAAAATATAGCTGCAAAAGATAATACCTTCATGAGAGCGTGAACGTTATCAAAAATTAAACATTTTATCTGCCATGACATATATAAACCACTATTGTATGATAATTGTATGGAGATTAGAACACAAATTTATATCCATGTTCGAGGAACTGTTAAAAATTCAAGAAAAAAACACTTAATTATCTAGAGCAGCGAGAAAGATAAGATGTCAGACCCCTTTCATATTCTTTTTTTTTTTTTTTTTTTTTTTTTTGTATCAATATTCTTTTTCCTGCTAGATATGCGAGCTGAAGAGAGACACGATTTCGGTTTTCGAGCTGGTAACCGCTCAAGAATAACGACCCTATTCCCAGAAACACGCAGGGGGAGAGACTATAATACGTTGAGCGTTACAAAAATTATATCGTTCCTTATGTTTTTCCCTGAATTTAAGAGTTCGTCGGATATATAAATTTGTCGCGTATAAATGTATTTTTTTTTTTTTTTTTTTTTTTCCCCAATTCCCAATCTCTACGATAACGCGACAGTGGTGTAATCTTTTCATACATTGTGACGAATAATAAATAACACGCACAATATAAAACCGTTCGTCCGTTAAATCCTCGTAATGTGCGCGGGTGTGCGTTGCGCGCGAATTACACGGTAAAGCAATAATTTGCGAATAATAAATCGACGAATGGAAGAGAAAAAAAAAAAAAAAAAAATTCCACATCGGATTGCACGTTAATGTTGAACTTTTATCAGTAATTACACGCTCGCAACTTCGGATTATAACGTGGCTGGCCTCGTTATCGAGAGCAACGCGGCGGAAAGACGTAGGACGTGCCTCGTGAACAAGTTCCACGAAATAGTCTTTTAACTGCATTATACAGATTTTCCAAGATAAACGCCACGGACGGGACGTAACTTCGGAGAATCCACCAACGCATCACGCTTAATTGTACGCACATACGGCTTCTTCTGCGCATATATGTACACACATACACACATAGACGCGCGCGCGATTATGCTTATCGTAAATATCGAGAACTTTTTTTTATCTCCCTCTCACACACGAGCGCGTTCTATTGAAGAGTGTATAATGCACGATTTCAATTTTAACAGGAAATACCTTGAGCAATTTTTCTTCGACGTTATATGACGTCAGAAATAAAAGAAAAATATTAAACTCAAGAGAATACATGTATAAATAAATTAAATCATGAGATAAAATAAGTTTGTTTCAATTCGGAGCGCGCTTCTTCTCTCTTCTTAAAACTGAAAAAGATTTAAAGCTGCAAAAATACATTTTGATCAATATTCTCGTCGCGTCTCTTTTTGTTATCCGAGTGAAACTATTTCCGTCGGAATTGTGATCTTTAGACAAACAAATCTGACGAGATAAAAAAAGAATTACACACAGATCTAAAAGAGCGTAATATCGATTGTTGAGACAATTATTTGAAAATAATACGCGACGGGTTTATTTTTACAACTGTTTGCAAGTTGTCCGCGCGGCGTGGCCTCGCTTTTATTTCTGAACGTGTCGTTAAGAAAAAAAAAAAAATGATAATAATAATAGCACAGCGAAACATCGTGATTAGATGAGATACGACAATTGTTGGTTACGCCATTGCAAGACGTCTCTTCTTCGTATTTTCGAATGTGAGCTCGCAGAAAAACGTTTTTAGCAACAACCGTTACGGCAGACGATAACGATGGAACCGCACCGCGTAGCGATGACGTCCGTTTCGCGGAATACAGTCTGAAATTTTGACGCGTGCACCACCACCACACCCCTCCGCGTGTTACTCTATTTTAACCACCCCTCACTCCCGGACAGGTGAACGCATTTTCTTTCACGACAAACATCTATACAAGGGTATACGCGCGCGATTCATATGTTGACGTACTTTTGTGTATATTTTGTCGATACATAGCATTAAATTTCCAACGTGCTTTAATCACGTACGTAGGTATACGTACATACGTACGATCAATGATACCGCGCCGCATCGAAAACAGATGACATTGAGCGCAAGGTGTAGTTACACGATGAAAAACCTCTTGTTGAAAAGCTCAATCGTACTATCCAGTAAAAAAAATTCGAAACAAATTATACAAAAAGTATTATTTTAATAAAATTTTAATTATATATTTTATATATAAAATTTATGTTTTATTCAGCTTTGCAGGTTTTTTAACGACCGATTTTTGCTCTCTGCTTCTTCTAAAAAAAAAATTAATAAAACTTTGCATATCGTAATTGCTTTGTCGCTATCAATATTATGCGAGCTAAATGTGCGATAAAATGCAGAGGCATTTACATACAAACTTTTTCTGTAAAAAAAAAAAAAAAAACAACGATAAGATTTTGAAAATAAATTTCCTTTAAATCGAACTCTTCAAAAAGTTCTAAAGCAAGATAAAATTGAAGATAAAAAAATTGATATTTTTACGGTATTTTTTATATAAAATTTTTTAACATTATTGACTGATACACGCGCACGCACATCACTCTCTCACAAGAAAACGCTTGTGTGTTCCCATTATCAAACGTTTTAGCTAGAATCGCGAGTTATCGCGCGTTTTAATGAATACATACATTTTGTCAAAACTAATTATATACCGTCGTTACTTTATCGCGCGCTAATCGTTCCGCGAATTCTCTACTATTCTTTCGCTTTTCCCTCCCGTCGCTCCTTTCCGCGAAAACAATGCCAACGAAGTCAATAGCGTCAATAAGAGGAAGACGCGCTCTTGCGCGTGTAATCGCGTTTAGATTCCGTATACCTATTTATTATTACATTAAAACCGCACGCATTCGATCCCCGAATCTATTTTGCAAATGGAAAATATGGCGTCATTTAATTTCTCTTACCGTGGTGTGTGCCGCTTCATCGCAATTTCATCGGTGGTATCGTCGAGGGCGCACATGCGATTCGATGCTTTTGTTCTGTTTCGCGGAACCAGACGACTTCGAGTGAAAACGACACACTTATACTCTCACGAGAGAAAACGGTCGTTCCAATTTATTCCCGTACGAAACTCTTGCGTGTCTCTTCCGTGGTTTGTTGACGCATGTAATTCTCTCGACGCGAAAACGAGATTTTTTTAGATCCTGTGAGAGATTCGCCGAGACGACGGGACAGTGTACCTCGCGAACACAGACTTCCGTTCTCTCTCTCTATCTCTCTCGCACTTCTCTCTATTGAGAGAGATTTAAAAGCTTTCTTCCACGAGACTTCTAACCTAAATTCAGCCCGCTTGAACGAGACAAAAGCAGCACCGTGGTGCGCTCGCCTCGCACGATGGCCAACTGAAAGTCGACAAACGACTGACCGGACACTGAGCTCGCTCTCGCCTCGCGGGCTGAATGGTTCTAAAATTATCGGCGTTGCGCGCACGCGGGCGTCGCGCCTGCTCTCGCGATCAGCGTTGACAACCGAATGGAGTAGGGTAGGGATCGGCTAATGCATGCGCAATGAATGCGTTCTCGAAGAGAACGTGTAACAATTTTCTCGGAATATTTTTGCGCGCGTAGAATAACGCGAGCGATTTCAAAGAGAGAGAGAGAGAGAGACATATTTCACCGACAAACCACCTAAAAATGGTCACGACGAATGAGAAATGATTGTGATTTGAATATGAAAAAAAGATTGTATAATTTATTTGTGTACATAAAGAGAAGACGTGAGAGCACACACATACACACACACGCGCGCGCGCGCGCGCAATTCTCAAATATAAAGAAATTTGTTTCAGAAAGACAAAATATACCTTTACCAACCAGAGATAACAAAAATTCTTCGTTTTTTTTTTTTCGCAGGATGTTTATTGTAAATCAATGATGATGTCCAGTTGTAATCAATGCAGGTAAACACGATCCTAATACTAAAACTGACAGTTCTCTGACCTTAAGACCGGTTGTATTTACTGTTGAGTTATTCTCAACACTTGGCAAATGCGAATAATTATTGTGACGTGTCATTAATTCCGGTAGTACGTGTACAGTAGCTACGTAAAGGAATGTGCCGGCGCTAAATAACATAGCCACACCAGTCGCTCTGACATTGCTCAGGGTTTCCTTTCCCTCCTGCAAATATAGAAATAATTATTCAGAGACAGCTTCAAGTACAACAGTAATGAAATTAACTTGAGTAAGATGTTTGCTATAAATACATTTCCTTGATAGAATCTAACGCTAGTAAGAGAATGAGATCTATTAATAAAGCATGACATCATTAAAATATGCGAGAGATATCGCTTGAATCTTATTAATAATCTCTAGTAGCGTTAGAATGTACTCACTTTTCCGATCCCGAAATATGTCACAAGCGCGAGACATGGTGCTGCAAGAGAGAAAATTAACAAATGCTTGGTTATTTTCTTCTTATCCACACACTCATGAAGAAGGAATGATACAAGTCCAAATGCAGCCGGTGCCTGTAAAAAAAATTAATAAATGCATTTTGTAGCAAAGAAAAAAAAGACAATTGTATTATTGTATTTATTGTTGCTAATTCTAAAATGTGCCAAACATATTTTTGTTATACAAAAGCAAAACTACGTCTGTATTTAGATTTACCTATTTTTACACACGTAGTTCTTGACAAACTTATATATTTTGTAGCAAATTTTTTTTTTCTATAGAGAAACGTCAGGTATTGTGGGACATTTGATTACAAAAGTAAAATTTGCCTTTGTTAAATGGAAGAGACAAAAGTTTAAAGAAGGAAATCATTTTTCTTTGATTAAATATTTTTGCACTTTCTTGCTCTGAACTCATTCACATGACTGACACATTCTATGGAGTTGGGTCAATTAGTAAACTGTTACAATTAGATATTTTACTTTGTGCAACATTATTGCAATGAAAACTATCACTTCCACATCAGCCTGAGACGTTGTAGCAGCAGCTCCTAACGCAACTCCATCAACAGCTGCGTGCACTACAAGGCCTAAAGTAGCTGTGACAGACTTCTGTCTTCCGCCGCTTCTTCTTGCTGAACACTGATCGATCAGAAGCATGAATACAAAGCCAAGTACTAGACTGATACCAATTAATGAGTGTAGATCATCTGTAAAATAAAATACTATGTGTATTCATGTTGTGGAAAAACAATTATATACTGAAAAAAAATTATATATGCTATATGTAAACAAATAAATACACAAATTATACATACCATGATCTTTTCCATTAGAGGGATTACTAGTAAATAAAGCTTTGATACCTTCAGGTATAATCACTGCTAATGCAGTGCCAACAAGAAGTCCTGCTCCTAAGATAGACACTAATTGTAACTTATCCTGTAAGGAAACAAACATTCTATGCAATTAGAAAGTAAATCAATACATTTTTAAAATATTTACATAAGTGTTTATGCACATAACAGTTTCTACTTTCCATATAAAATTATCTCATTTTAAACGAATCAATAGCTCACGTTAAAAAAAAAAAAAACTAAAAAGAAAAGAAAAGTTTCTCGTAATTCCACAAAGAAAATTGCTTACTTCAGATAAGTTTATGAGTAATGGTAATGATCCTGCCAAACAAGAGCCAACAAGCATAACAAACGAAAGCATCCATAGCATCGCTTTCTCTTCCATAATTATTTTTTGTAAATATATTGCACAGATTTATTTATAACTTCCAGTTGTTGTTACATTGTCTAGTAACTACAATGAAAAAAAAAACACTTGTCACGTAGTTATCAAAATCGCACTCGGTTGTAATCTCGCACATATGTTTATTGCAAGTTATGTAAACTGTCATTGTATTATGTATTCTATACGCTACTTATATATACACACGTATACGTAGGTACACAACTGTGTTAAAAATTTTCGTGCCATTTGTGTGTATCTTCTATGCAAATATGTGCGCCCATTGACAGCACTGTTGTCATTTGTACCCGATTTCGGCGAAAGAGAGACAGAGACAGGAAGAGAAAGAGAAGTGTGACACACACACACACCCATTCGTTGACCTTACGATGCTGATATTTCGTTTGTCGCGCGACAACGAAATTTTCAAGAACGCATCGGTCGGTTTGTCGGGTTGCGGAAGTTTTCTCTCTGTTTTTTTTTACTAATTATTCGACATGTCCGAAAACACTTTTGTGTCGTTACACCGCGAATGCAACACACCAGCCTCACACGTGAGCAAGGTAAGGCCCGTATCGAATTGCGGCTCGTGATCGCGGGTGTATTAACCTTTCGTATCGCACGCTCGATCAATCGGAACGTGTACTCGAGCCAATCGCCGTCTTTCGGGCGTTTCGTTCCGATTGGTCGAAAATCGCGATGCGATCCGTTCGACAAACGGGACTTAAGGCGGAGAGAAGACGCTTAAAGGTCAATAAAGAGACGCGCAAGAGACGCACATAAGTACGCGCCCGAACCAACGGACGCTCTTGCATTAGCCGCGCGAATGCACTACTGACAAGCGCAGTGAGATACGTAATACGATCTATCCGTGATCGTTAATGTAATTAACGAAGATATCGAGAGAAGTCAAGACCGTCCGTCGTTAATCCTAATCTTCCGTTAGTTTTTTACCGCAAAGTGCTCTATTCGGTGTTTTCACCAAGTGTGTGTGTGTGTGTGTTTGTGCGAATCGTCACGCGTTATCAAAGAGATACGCGCACGCAATCGGTTAATAAATCGCGCGATTTTATACATGAAAGAACGATGCGCGCGAATTAACGTTCGCTGTCGTTTGCGCGTGATTTTAATTAATAGTAATTCGCAAAACGTTTGTCAATTGCGTTGTCCGACACAACGCTTTGTGTGCCAGTAACCGGTACATGAACAATCATACGTGACGAGAATCCAGAAGTCACACCAAAAACACAAAGCGCACAACTTTTCATCGTACACACAAGAGATACTGTGATAATGGCTAATCATGGTAGGATCTCGGAGTGATGACGTTTTAAGATTCATATGCGCGATCAACGTTAATTGTTTTGATGATTGTTTCAGAAGAGGATAAGAGCGAGGGCTCCGTCGATATGGAGGTTGAAAACAAGGAAGAAGAATCCGAGGAACCTGAGAAAATAATGATCATAGATCCTAGTAGCGAAGTTTGTGCGACTTGTTTTGTCTTTTGTTTTTTTTTTTCATTTTTAATTATCTGAATCTTCAAATATTTCGATCAAATTGAAATTGTTGTCGATACTGTGTGAATTTTTTAGTTTCTTTTTTTTTTTTTTAGAAATATATTAAGTTTGTTAATAATGTTGTAAACTCGTTTGTTATAAACTCGTTATTAACGAGATTGGTGTGAAATATCGATGTGTTTCAGGAATTAGATTTCAACCACTCGAGATTATCCAAGCTAGAAAATCTAGAACCGTTAACACAAATTCGGAGATTATGTTTCACATGGAATCTGATAAAAAAGATAGAAAATCTCGATACGCTTGTCACTCTGGTGGAATTAGAATTAAGAGATAATCAGATTATTACTATAGAAAATCTGGATGCTCTTGTGAATTTAGAGTATGTTATTTGTTATTATAATTTATATTACGAATTTTTTCACAGATGTAATTGGTTTCTGTGAATAATTTAGTGCTCGGACATTTTTGACGCTCGAAGTAATCGAATTGCTCAAAAATTCTCAAGCTCGAACGTTCAATTGTTCGAATCTCTCAAACTATTCGAACTGGAAAGTTCTATCTTCGTTTGTTTAATTAATTGTCCGAAGTGCGCCAGTTTAACTATTTCTGCTTCAAACTGTTCGAATATTTTGAATGTACAATCGAATCTGTTGAGCTCCAGTAAATGTTTACTCACGTTGTGTAACACCGTTTCTAATATTAATAACTTCTATAGGCTCTTGGATTTGTCGTTCAATCGTATCAAGAAGATAGAGGGGTTGGACAATTTGTTGAATCTGCAGAAATTATTTTTATCGTCAAACAAGATCACGAAAATCGAGAATATCGCGCATTTGTCGAACCTCACGACATTAGAATTAGGCGATAACAAAATACGGGAAATTGAGAATTTGGACGGTCTTAAGAACTTGACCAATTTGTATCTCGGCAAGAATAAGATCTCAAAAATTCAAAATTTGGAAAGTCTGGAGAATCTCACGTTGCTGAGTCTACAGAGTAATCGGATCTCGAAGATCGAGAATATCGAAGAGTTGAGGAAATTGGATCAATTGTATTTGTCCGAAAACGGTATTACTTGCATAGAGGGTATGGACAATTGCCCGGAGCTAACGACGTTAGATCTGGCTCATAATAAAATTAAGAAGATACAAAATTTGAATCATCTGGAAAATCTCGAAGAGTTCTGGGTGAGAAAAAGATTGATATATAAATATCTTTTTTCCGATATACTGAGTTACCACGTTGTGTTTATATCGCGTCATTTTAACATTCATTTTTCAGATGAACAATAACGAAATCGAAGATTTCTCCACATTGGAGAACTTAACGTCAAACAAGAAATTGCAGACCGTGTATCTGGAGCAAAATCCTATCGCGAAGGATCCGAGTTACAGAAGAAAGATCATGTTATTACTACCGTGGCTCCAGCAGTTAGACGCGACTCTTTGCAAGAGGATGATGGCTCAAGAAATCTTTCATAATTTCAGCAGCGATTAAAAAAACCGTTTGCGTTATCACGAGATAAATCACAAAAGCAATTCCACTCCAAATAAATCCAAAACAATTATCTATATTTCTGTGCTTCCTAGTCTGTAATAGCGTGCACTTCGAACTGCTCCTCACAAAAAAAAAAAAACACACGTGTGCAAAAAATCAATATTGATATTTAAGGAAAGTATATTCTGGTTATATATATATATATATTTAAACAAAAAAAAAATCTTTCTTACAGTCACATTTGGTGATTAAATGTTACATATGTAACGCAAATGAGATTATATATATTTCATAGTAATGCTATTTTATTGACTTATATATATACACTAATGGTTTTTGTTATAAATGTAATTATCATATACTTATATAAAATATCGTTTAAAACGAGTAAATAAATTATTGTCTTCTGCTGTGTACTGTCAATATTGCTTGATTTGACAAACAACAAATTTGTGAATGTGGAAATGACGAAATATTCAAGCTCGCGAATCAAATGGCCCGATATTGTCTTTCCACGCGATTTAATACGTGCAAAAATAAACAAACAAACCAAGCAAAATGTACAATGTTGTCTAATCACAGGAGCAAAAAGAATTTGTAATTATACTTGAGGTGTAGTTACTTGTTACGTTTCTTACCTACAAAGAATCGCTATTTTCCCTTTGATATACTGTATTACATATATATATTTCATCTGTGCAAAATAACTAATAATGTAGTTTTTCTTTATGGTTGGTTCAAAACAGATTTGAGCTCGTTTTTCATTAATAAAAAATATTCTTCCGTAGCCTCATTAAGATCGTTAACAACGCCGTCTTCGGTCAAATTATTGTACGGATCTTCATCTACAAATTTATATATAATTTTATCAAATTTATATATAATTTTATCTTATAAGTATATGTGGTGTACGTGTATATGTGTGTTTGTATATGTACCTCTGATCGACAAATGTCCAAGAAATTCACATACTGCAGGATAATATGAAATTGTATTTTTGGAACCAGATGGTTTTCTAGCCCAGATGTAAATACGTACGTCGTCGTACAATTCGTCACCAGGCTTCGATTTGGCGCGTGTAATGCATGTATTGTGTGGTATTTCACGTGATTGTAAATAATTGACTAAACAGATTGCTCGAGATACAAAGTCTGTGATATCTTTAAAATCAGACAACTTGAGACAAAATCCTTTTGCCGGATAATCCACCAATAAGTGTACGCCTTTTATATAATCACAAATATTCTGCAACAAAATACATTCATATTTCACAAATGTGTTCATAACAATAGGCTACTGTATATAAATTACAAATTTGTGATGTATTATCTACAATATATTCTAGAAGCATTTCGTATCTCAAATAGTACAAGTGCCAGTGCAAATGATTAACAGATGCAAAAGCGCACAAACTATTGAAGACAATCCTCAAAGACCTAAAAAAGAAATTAGAAAAAAATCAAAACTGAGGATTATGTATTGTGTGTTTTGAGAAAGTTTGTTTCCATTGTAATACACAACATTGTAGTTACCATGAAGAACTCAAGAGACACAGTTCTACTGCTTTGAGAAGACTGTATTCTGTCATGACTTGCGGCAAACATTTCAAGCGTTCTGAAAGAAGCAAACAGTGTCCTGATTCCAAAGGACTGGAATTAATCGCAACTACGTCGTTCAAGTCGCCATTGCCCACGTCAAATAATATCTCCTTTTGAGATAATTTGGTGAAATTGAAACGTGCGGGATCAAATGGTTGTCGCATAAATGTGATCGATTCTGGCGCACGTCTGCAATGTCCTCTTTCTGGATTGAACTAAAAACGTTATTACGTACAAAAAAACGTTATCGCAATTAAGAGAAGATCTCATACATACTTGTGCTAAAAATCTATATCTTCCTCTCAATGTTTTGCTGCTCCTTATATTCAAGTTGTAGCGGAATGCTCCGACTTTTTCGGCCTGCTTCCACGCTCGTTGCAGAATGCTGTCAAACGCGGAATCATTTTCCACGTTCGATTTGACGATAAAATGAAAATTTTCCGTATTGTAACGAAATGTAGGAATTTCGTTTTGTGAAATCATATTGATAAAAAAGGTCTTACTGGTTTTATAGTTCTTATGGAATTGAGAGAGTGTGTGTACAATTGCATCAGTCAATTCACGTGGTCACCTGACAGTAGTTAAATGACTACAATACAATCGACCGAATCAGATCGATCATCGACCACATATGATTCTCGGATGAGAGAAAGAGAGAGAGGAGAGAGAGATGGCGTCACGATCGCGCCACCAACTTCACTCCGATGACGGCAAACCGCGTCTTGATTGTTGTCAATTGTTGTGTTTCGCGACAATTTGTGACCGCGTTATCTCGTCAAGATGCAAAGTTTCGCAACTTTCGCGTTCTTCGTTATCTCCTGCATATCACTCGGTAAATAACGACGTTCAAATCGTCTTCTCTTTCTGTCACTGAATCACTTTTATTATTTCACATGACGTGTTATTTTTCATCTAGGCCACGCCCTGGAGTGTTACGTTTGCAGGGATCAGGAAGGTAATCAGGACAAATGTCTGAACACCATAAAAACCTGCGATCCGGAACAAGACTCCTGTCTCACGGATATCAGATGGGGCAGTAAGTGATCTTGTGTGTATTAATAGTCGAACTCTCGGGTTGTTTTTTGAGGTTATATGTAATAAACAATTCCGCGCTTTACGTATAAATTTCTATCTAGAGCAAGATTATTCACCAGCTCTATCGCAATTGAAATCGATCAGCAATTATCGTTTAATCGCTATCTGTTGAACGATAAAGAAATGCATAATCAGTATGAAATCAATATAGATAACAAAACGTGAGAAGAGAGCTGCTTTGTTTTGAAGTCCGTGAGAATCATTTTTTTTAAACTGTGAAGATAGTCGAAAGCAAAAAGTTGCAAAGAATCTTATCTAACTTGGTCAAGATCATTCAAAGAATGCAATGTCAAATTCAAACGTATAACGTAACACTGTTATTATGTAGGTACACCGTACTGGTCCCAGGGTGCCAAAAAACAGTTTTACGTTTCTAAAAGGTGCGCCACCAAGAAAGAGTGCGAAAGAATGGAACGGGTTGGCATGTCCGATTGCCATTACATCTGGTATCAGGATTGGAAGTGTTCTTCTTGCTGCCAAGGGGACAGATGTAATTTTTATGTTATTGTAAGTATGCTGTTGCAAAGGAAAGATTTGCTCAATTTTGATAAAAGGAACGCAATGTTGCTATTTAAACAAATTTTGTTTTTCAGTCTGCTGGAGAAAAAACAAAATCGCACAGTGCAATCACCGCTGCAACGATTCTCGTTTCATTATTGGGAATATTCAAGGTTTTATGATGATAAAATTCTGCACAGAGAGACACTTCAGAGATCGGTAATATTAGTTGACGTTCTAGTCAACTGGCGAGTAATCTCAGTACTGCAGACTGAATTTTTGTATAGAGTTATTTTTAGCTCACTAACAATAATTACAAAATTTCACATACTTATACAGAGGCAATTAGCCTTGAGGTTTTACACTTTTATAACTTTTTTATATAGGTTTTTGAATATACTGATTTTCTTTTTTTTTTCTGTTACACTTTAGTGTCAAAAGATATTTTAAGTACTTGCAATAATTTATAATAATTCTAACGTTAACTTACGTCAAGATATATTTGTTTTTATTTAGATGTATGCGTTTTTACACTCAATGTTATTAATTATTCCGCAAATGTTTATTTACAAGTTTAAATCTATATTTTAATATGATATTTAATCCGTCCATTTTTGAGAGTAATACTCTCTCGATATAATTCTCAATATATATACTCCGTATATTGTATATACTATTATATATATATTTTACGAATAATCTCGCATTTGTTACGTACAAATAACATGTAATATATATCCGTCCACTTTTTTGCAATTAAATTTATATATTGCATCTGAAATGAGCAAAGGAGTAAGCACATTGTGAAAAATAAAAGTATTGTATCCAGAATAATGCCGTGTTAAAAAGTGATCTTTCTGGCCAAAAGTGCTTTCCACCCACACACACACACAAATATTCTTCATTTCGTAATAAAGATATAACATTTTTTTTTCTCTGAAATTAAACTTGCACAATGAAGAGAGACAGACAGACAGAGAGAGAGAGAGAGAAAAAGAAGAGAACAGAGGAGAGGGAGAACATTGACGTATCTTCTATTATCATGCGTAATCCTCTTAACTCCGATATCTATGTAGATAAACACAGAAAATAGTTATATCCGTGAAAACACAATCCTCGGATTGCGCGCGGCGCGTCGACGCGTCATCATTGCGCGTAAACTTAATGCGAGGCACCGCCGTGTCTTTTGTTAGAATTGTCAGTCGGGTTTAAGTGCGACAGCGGTAATTACGGCAGAGTCATTAAAAAGTCAAGTCAATTACGGTAAAAAAAACGATTTCGCGCATAACTGAAAAAGAAAAAAAAAAAAAAGCTACGTCGCTACTTCAATCCGAAGGTACGTATGCGCTGTGTCTGTTGTTATCAAGCGCGTGAGAAACATGACTTTGCGAGTCGTAACGGCAACTGATTCGAAAACGTATATATTTGAAAAATTTATATTTTGATTAAAATGTGTTTTTTTTACCGTAGAGTGAAACGAATTTTCTCTCTCGCATCATTCATTGTCATTGAAGTGTTTGCACCGGTGAAATTTTTACAGTCAAAAGATAGTTTGGAAGAAGGTAATGTAATTTTTATAAGATTGTATAACGCTTTTATTATTCTTCACGTCACTTATCTCTTCTTTGAATATTAAAAAAGTCTATATTACATTTAGTCGTGATGAAATGAATTTCTCAAAGACGGCATTGTGAATTTTTCGTTGTTTGTGTTTTCAGCCAAAAAAAAATAAAAACGGTTTGTGATATCTTCAATTGTACGATTTGTGACATTTTCAATTGTGTTGCAATTGAGGTTTTAACTTCAGTACGTTCAGCAGAAAATGGTAAACGCGTGTGAAATTTGTTCTGCTGAGCGCGACTGTTGAATTTTACAAAGACTTTCGTGTTTTGTTCTTATAATGCGCAAGTACGCGCACTTATAATAATGAAGCGCACTTGACAGAACAACGTGATGAGATATTATACCGTGCGTGATAAATATTTCTAATATTATATTTTATAACGACAATCGCGTTATGTTTGTATTACGTGCCAATGTACAAACTCAAGAAAAACGTAGGATCTTGTTTCGTCTAAGTTCGTCTTCAAATACCCTAAATCCGTAGTCAATAAGACAAACGATCGACCGTCAACTCTCAGAACAAAGTGATCTTGAACACAAGATCGAACAACGCTAAAGTAAATATGTCGTTGCGAATGCTTGACAATTTCAAAAGTAGTCTGAACTCGAGATTAGATTCTATTACGATTAAATTCTATTCGATTAGATTCTATTATCATTTCCTCGAAACAAATATGTGATAATTCACGGAGTCGCAACTGGTATTATTCAGACGATCTTAAATATTAAGAATTCGAGTGTACGAACGCCGAAATCTTGTTTCCGAATCGAAACTTCTTTCGAGTTCCAACAAGTCGAAAAACACACGGATTCCGGTATGATGCAATCTGGCGGTAAAATTCGATCACACTCGCGGTTTAGATTTAGAAAATCGTCTAATCCGATGTTCGAAAATTAAATACAAACAATAAGAGGAAAAAAAAAAAAAGGAATGATGACGTTCGCGTTGAAGTGTCGATCAATCGCAATAATAAACGCGTAGGGGAGAGATTTGTAGACGCGTCGTCGTTGTTCCGCTAACAGCGAGTCAATTCGACCAATTGAGCAAACCAGAAAAAGCGCCCGATGCATGGCACGTCGCTGATTTATATAAAGGCGTTTCAATTGGTAGAGCGTCTTCAGTCGCGCGCCGACCGTTAAAACGAAACAGGTCTTTTGTAACTACGTTTTTTTTTTGTTATTGTTCTGCGGAAAAATGGATTGCGCTTTAAGTAAACTCGTTATGGTAAGTCATCTAATTGCTTTTCAAAACGTTCTTACGTCTCTAAGTAGGCTCTTGCATATCGGAGCGGATCTTACGCGTTTATGAAACTTCTTGCTGGAAAAAAAAAAAAACATCTGTAAGGTATAATTTGCGAAATTATTTATTATTGATCATTGCTATTTCTAAGTTAATTATTGCGATGACGTTCCAACGGTGTGACTCTAACGCGTGTTCCTTTAATTCTTCAATTACTTTTTTTCAATCTTCTCTTTTTCTCGATTCTCATTTCGAACTGACTTTTCAAGCTATTTTATAAAAAAATTTTGAGAAATTTCTTTCCAATGATAAAAAATATCTCTCTGACACGTCTTTCGCGATGTTTTCGATGTTTTATTTATTTAAATCGTCGCAATTTCACATACGTCATCTTTCAGTTGTACAAAATGAAGTGGAGTTTGCGTAGCATGTACGATGTGTTCAGTCGCAAAAAAGTGGTCGATGTCTCACAGGACTCGAAATTAGCGAGGGTTTTGTCCACCCTCGACCTCACAGCTTTAGGAATCGGTTCCACTCTGGGAGTGGGTGTGTACGTACTCGCGGGAACCGTTGCAAAGTTTACCGCCGGTCCAGCCGTAATCATCTCATTCGCTATTGCAGCAGCAGCATCAATGTTCGCAGGTAATTACATCGATATATAAATGATCTATGAACATACAATTTGATGAACGATCGTTTGATTGAATTCTTAATGTATTCTTAATTTCCAACTAATAATTCTTAATCTCCAACAAATCTCCTATATATCTACTTTTAAGAGTTTCAAGTTTTTCAGTGGGTCTGACCTACGGTTTTAAATGGAATCCGAACTGTAATATAATCAGCTAATGCTGATTATACTAGATAGATACACACGCAATCTCTATTATCGGATAAAGAGACCGGTCCGGCAAAAATCGTAAAGTGTTACGCGAATGAACTCCGAGTTCGCAGCCCTTGCACTGAAACCGCGTGATCAACGAACCGGTCACGTCATCGTTTTACTCCTCTTGTTACAACAGAGTCTCCGATCGCGTCAATGTATTTCACGCGTTAGTTTTTAATCGCGTCTTATAAAACCAGCTCGATGAAACGAGAAAAACTCAAATAACTGCGTAAGACGAGTATAAACGGATTCTTATTTTCCGCACGCGGAGATTTTTGCTGTTCGAGCGAATTTCACACTCTGCGATCAACGCATGTTGACAGAAAACGATATCCAATCCGCGTGGTAGGTATATCGTTACAGCAATCGAGATTAAACTCTTGAAGATTTATTACGTCTGGCCTCGGAATTCCTCAACGAGATGATATTCAAAAATTACGCAAGTTAATTGATAAACTTATTATTGCGATAACGTACACCTTGCACGTGTTCGGCAAGTAAGTTTTGCACCGAGAAATATCGAATTCTTACATAATAATTTCGCGCGTATATCAAAAAGTGACATTCCTATACAAATGATTGAAAACTTGAAATTGTTGCGAGGTCAGCGATTTGTTAAAAAATCATATCTTGTTGGATTCATATTCAAATTAGTCGTTGCGTCTGTATTAATTATTTGAAAAGAGATAGACGAAGTGTTGTTGTGTTTCTTCTTCGTAGGACTTTGTTATGCCGAGTTCGGCGCCCGAGTGCCGCGTGCCGGATCGGCATACGTTTACAGCTACGTAACGATGGGCGAATTCGTGGCATTTCTCATCGGCTGGACATTGATTCTGGAATACGTGATCGGCTCGGCCAGTGTGGTGCGTGGTCTCAGCACGTATGTCGATGCGCTCTTCAACAACAGCATGAGGAGCGCCTTCGAGTCGGCTGCACCCATAGATGTCACACATCTGTCGTCGTATCCAGACTTCTTTGCGTTTGGCGTCACGCTGTTATTTTCAGGTATCAAGAAAGATTCATCCGGCCGGATTAGGTGAGATCTGATTAAACGATCTTGAAGATCTCCGAGAAATTTTTGAGCGAAACACGTGTACGTGCGTGTCCCTTACGACAAAACCGGCGCGTGAATTCTATTATTATATATATATATATATAGGCCGTTACATAATTGCGCGACATAAAAGCGGCTGATGCAATTTGCAATTTTCTTTTCAGCCGCGCTCGCCTTCGGAGCTAAGGAATCTTCGTTGGCGAACAACTTCTTCACCATGGTGAATCTCTTCGTCGTGCTCTTCGTTATAATTGCCGGTTCCGTCAAAGGTAAACGCACATTCCCGAGTTCTTTCTTCCACGTATAAATAAAGTGATTACGTTCAAACGTGTAATCACGTTGTGTGATATTTGCAGCTAATACCGGCAACTGGAATTTGAATCCCTCTTGCACTGAAACCGACTGTCCGAACGGAAACGGCGGGTTTATGCCTTACGGGATAAGGGGTGTTATAACCGGCGCGGCCACATGCTTCTACGGATTCATCGGCTTTGACTGCGTGGCCACAACGGGAGAGGAAGCTAAGAATCCGCAGCGATCTATTCCCATAGCGATCGTCGCGTCCCTGACGATCGTCTTTTTGGCCTACTTTGGCGTCTCGATCATTCTCACCACCGTCCTACCATATTACGACCAAGATCCCGACGCACCGTTCCCGTACATGTTCGATATGATAGGATGGAACTGGGCTAAGTGGCTTGTGTCGATCGGTGCGATTTGCGGTCTTTGTTCCAGGTAATACTTTTTTTTTCTCTCTCTCTCTCTCTTTTCATTACATCAGGCTAAACAAAAAACAAACGCACAATTTTTGTTACACAAAACTAAAGTTGCATATCAATCTTGCACGTACAATTATGTTTCAGCTTGTTAGGTGCGATGTTTCCGCTGCCACGAGTAATCTACGCCATGGCTTCTGATGGGTTGATCTTCAAGTGGATGGGAAAAATAAGCTCACGATTTCAAACTCCTCTCATAGGCACACTTTCTTCTGGACTTCTTACAGGTCTGTCAACACGCACGTCATTTTTTTTTTTTTTTTTTTTTTTGTACAGCTAATTACCAATGTAATCGTTCAACGACACATTGCAGGCATACTAGCGGCAATTTTCGAACTTACACAACTGGTAAACATGATGAGCATCGGTACACTGTTGGCGTATTCAATCGTAGCGTGTTGCGTACTTATTCTACGGTAAGAAATTTGAATTCATTATTGTCACAACCTTGATACATATTGACCAAAATACGTATTCAAAAAATTGAACATTGAAAAAAAACAGACGATATGACTCTCTGTTTATTTCAAGTTAACACAAAATAACGAATAGATTTCTCTCTCGTCTCTTTGAAGGTATGAAGAAAGCGAAGCATACGAGAAGAAAGGTGACCGCGATCCAAGAACCTTTTTGTTTGTCATGAAGCAACTAGTAAATGCAAACAAATTGAATCACTCGACGAAACTCACAGCTCAGATCGTTACGTTGCTCGTATTTTGTTACGGTGAGAGATTCATTGTTATTAATCTCTTTATTTGTTGTTATTGTTATTTAACGAACACATTGCTGAATTATATTTTCTAGTTATTCTTTGTATATGCATCGCCTTTCTGTTGGCATTGAACGTGGAAGAAATCGCCGCCGGACAAGCAACCTACGTGGTGCCTCTTGTCATTCTGTCTGTCGCACTTGTGGCTACTCTTTGTTTCATCTATTTTCAACCAAATTCTGGAAAAAAACTTACATTCTCGGTATGATTTATATATACATATTTTTAAAATTTGCATAAATTTGTTTTTTACAATATGCTAATATTTCATTGCGTTAACCCAATTCGTGAATTCAAGAGTCGCTTATCTCTTTGTTTATTGCATACTCGTGTGAATCACGTACGTATATATTATCACTTGCAATTAATCTTGGTCTTATCATAGATTGATGTTACAACTGTTCTACTTTTCGTAAATAATAATATAAAAAAGATATAAAATATGTAAAAGTTAAACCAATGATGCGATTAGCGCGCACTGTTCAAATTTGTCATACCGCCTTCTGTCAGGTTCCTCTGGTGCCATTCTTACCAGCCCTTAGTATACTCATCAACATTTATCTCATGTTAATGTTGGATGTAATGACGTGGGTACGTTTCTCAGTGTGGATGGCAATCGGTAAGTTTATCTCATATAAGAGATAAATGTATAGATAGTTTTTTTGTGAAAATATTGTTCATACATCGTGATATTTCTTGTGTGTTTTATTACAGGTTTATGCATATATTTCTTATATGGCGTGTCGCACAGTAACAATCGACAAAAGATATTGTCGCTGAGATTGACTGACTATCCCAAGGAGAACGTATGGGAGAACAACGATTGTACTCACATTACATGATAATCTAACATATCGATCTATGTAACAAAAAGCACTTTTTTATATTTTATTTATTAACTTGCTTTTTTTATTAATAAAATGTATTTTTGTAATGATATTTTATAATAACATTCATGGTTGAAAATTCTTATTTCTGTTCTTTTATTACAATAATTAATCTTTTGTAGTAATTCTTTTTAATCAAAAAATAAATATTTATGAATGACGAAGTACTTAAAAAAACGCGAACAAAAAAAAATGGCTTACAGAAAATTAATGTGATATTATTTTTGCAAAGTTATTTCAGTAAAATAAGTAAAACAAGAAAGAGCCATCTATTATATATATAACTATGTATCTAAAAATAGTTTTATAAAATAATCTTGCAATAGTTTATAGTTTTTTTGTAACTTAAAAAAATAAAATAAATTTTATAAAACTGAAATATTATGAACTAGAATATATATAAATATTATATCTTCAATTATATATATCTATATCACACGAGATAAAAAAAAATTAAAGCGCGAACAATGACTTGAGATCGTTCAATGTAAGCTTTGTGGCAGATTGGCTCTTGTCGCCGCTCAAAACGTTTTTCGCTATCTCAAGTTTATACTCCTGCAACGCCTTTATCCGCTCTTCTATTGTGTTGCTGCAAATAAATCTGGAAAAAAAAAAAGAACACTCGATGATGAATTCAATATCCGAAAGATGTACACGCGTACACACGGAAATCCATACTGACTTGTAAATATGGACGTTCTTTGTCTGTCCGAACCGATAAATTCTATCTTGTGCCTGTGTCTCTAACTGTGGATTCCAGTGAATATCGAATAACAGCAAATGGTTAGCACCTGTTAAGTTCAATCCCACACCGCCAGCGGTAAGCGAAAGCAACAAGACTCTTGGACCGGAATGTCGGTCATTAAAGGCATCCATTATACCCTGAAGAAAAAAAAAAAATTGATTTTTTCAATGGAATAAAAACAATTGTACCAAATTGAAATATTGTTCGTAACGTACTTGTCGGTTTTTAATAGCGACAGCTCCGGTGAATTTATCGAACGTAGCTCCTTTTATCGAAGGCAAATGCGACGCTATAACATCCAGCAGGCCAGTCCATTGTGAAACTATGATGAGTTTATCATCGCCTTTTTGTAGAATATCTCTAACCAAGTCGAGTAAAGCCCTCATCTGTGTACAATATTAATTATAATATAAAAAATAAAATCATCTCTTCGAATGTACAACCGTTAACTCACCTTGGAACTAATACGATCGTCATCAAACACCGGATTATCATGAGTAAGTACATTTTCGACTATTCTCTTGTCGATGCCAATATCTTCTTCTTCTTCATTTTCATCGAATGAATGACTGAACGATCGATTAAGTCCATTGATGGACATTCTATTTACTTGCAACAATAAATCATAGTCCACACTGCCCATATCCATTAAACCACTCTGTTTTACGTCGTCTTGATCGAGCATCGCATGGATCAATGCCGGATGACAACATACTTGACGTAATCGCAACAGGAGCACCAAAATCTCGTGTGTCTTTACATCGGCGTGCATCGCCAGCAATTTGTTCTGAGCTTCTGTGAATGGCGTATTTTTACCTTGAAAAGAAAACCAAGAACGACCGTGAAATTATTACGTCATCATAAAATGTTAAATCTTAATGATTCGTTTTTTTCTCACATAAGAGCGTGTAATACCTTTTGCAAATTACGTGTTCGACTTACTTGAGTTTAAAGCAAAGGAGGGTCTTTCGTACACTCCGCTGTTCAAATTTATCATGTGCGCCTTCTCCGCTCGTTGGTGCAAGAACTGCGCGAACAAAGTACGGGAGTAAACTAAAATCTTCTCGTATACCAATTTCTCTTGGGGATCGAGTTGCACCAACACCTCCTCGAAAAATTTTTCGGGTAAGGAATCTATAACGCCTTTTGCCATCAGTTCCGCCTTAGTTCTTCGTAACATCAAAGTTTTCATAACTGTCGCCAATCTCGTTTGGCCCGCGGCGTTCTTGTTGTCTACCCAACGCTTCCAGACGCGCAAATCGTCAAACGGCGAGCATTGGAGAAACTTTAGGATGGAGTACAAGTCCATTGCCTTGTTCTGTATAGGTGTGCCACTTAGAGCCCAACGTTTACACGCTACAAGTCCGCAAACCGCTTCGGCCATTTGACTCTTGTGATTCCTTACGTAATGAGCTTCATCAAGTATCACTCTGGTCCACTTGATCTGCAAAGAAATTTTGCATCTATAATCGAAGTCACAGAATAGAAGGGTAAAAAAACCTAAAGGTTTCTTTTTGTTCTCATTCAGTCAGCTACTAAATAATCTCAAATCCCACAATACCTTAAATAATGTAGAGTTACATTTATGTTCTCGGGATACTATATTATATGTCGTTATGACTATATCATTGTTCGCCAAGGTTCTGGGAGCGTTCATTCGATTTGTGCCATGATGTATATGAACGGACAACACACCGCGTTTGCACTTATTGCGCACTTCGTTCTCCCACTGGTTCACTAAAGACGCGGGACATACTATCAAGGTACCACCTTTAGGAACTGAAAATCGAGGTAGCTACTTTAGTAAATTAATTTGAAGTGTATAGATATGACAAATATTTTACTTATCAGACATTTATATATAATAAATATATACACGCACGGAAAGATCTACTATTACTCCATGCTTCATCATTATCATCATCACTGTCGTATTTATCGCTGAGATTTTTTTTGGCGAGAGAGGCCAGAATTAAGGATATCATAGTAATTGTCTTTCCCAAGCCCATGTCGTCAGCTGTAATTCGAAGACATCCAAGAAATATATTTTCAATGATAAAAAAAATCCAACATCAATTTAAAATTATGTTTTTGTTTTAGATATTTACCTAAAACACCACCAGGCGGTCTTTGCTGTTCTCTCCACAGAAGCCACGCGAGAGCATGCCTTTGATATGAAAACAATTGTACTTTTAAACCTCTTGGATCTTCTGCCTTTGTGTTTTCTGACGGACAAGCCTTAAGCGATCCGTGTAAATCTTGCAATCGCTCGGCCGTCAAAGCGAGCTCCTTATCCATTGTTTCTTGCGCTTTCTTACCAAGTATTCTTAATTCGGGAGATGTGGTAGGCCTCATCGGTATATCGTCAAAATTCAAATAATTATCAGGTTTGTAATCGTTTTCATCATCACTAACTGTGTACTTATCATCATCACTGTTCATGTACTTATCATCGTCACTAATTGTGATTTTATCATCATCACTAAACAACGGTTCATGTTTTACTGAAAATTTTTTGTAAGATGATTTTTTATCCTCCTCACTTTCTTTGCTACCGAAACTTGACGTCGGAAAAGTAATATTCCATTTGAGCTTCAATCGCTCGATTTCTTCTTCTTGCTCATATTCACTTTCACGTAATTTTTTGCCTTTGTCAGGCAACATATCGATATTTCCTTCGGCAAGCAGCAGCTACAAATATTACATGCCTCATTGAGCATTAAATTACATGGAAATATGAACGAAATAACACAAATTTCTTAAAATAAAACTATATAGATTTATAAGTGGAAGTTAAAATGATAAAATTTTAGATTACTTTTATTCTCGTTAATTGCTCGTTGAGCTTTCTTAATTCATCGATTGCATCGGCTTTGTTTTTTTCGGGCAACGCTGACGCTTCAATTAAATCCAAGTTTTTACCACCAGTTCCTTGTTTTCCAAAAGATAGTTTTGAATCGGACTTGCTGTTTTCGTCGGAGGAAAAATCTGTAAAAAATATTAGAATAAAACGAGTTGCTTATTTGAAGATCAATCTTTATGTTCAACAATTGAACAGAGAAAACTACCTGAATCAAGTACTATGGTAACAGGTTCAGAACTTGTAATATTTGATATTTTATCATCGCTAACTTTATCCTCTAATAAACTATTAGCATTGAAATCCATCTCGTTAAGAGAAATGTTAGTAGAACTGGGTTTTAATTCTTTTATGTCTTCTCTGGTAGTGTCGTGAGAAACATCTTTTCGTTTTTGACCTTTTTTAAAAACTGGTGAGTATGAGACTAGGGAATCTGTGAAATAACAAAATTAAATAACATTTACATGACACACAGTATCAAGTAGTATCAAAGTGTTTTTATTTATTACATAAAGATAGGCTTTATCAAGAAAACATATTTTTTACCTGAATCATAGTTTTCCCCAAAATCACTGGTATTACTATTGAAGGTATTTTGAAGCTCTTTTGTACTTTTGTGTCTATAATTGCTCTTATTTACACTATCATCATCATCATCATCATCAGAATCTTTTAATCTATATTTTTTTATGTGACTTTTAATAGCAGCTCTAGTCAAACGAGCAACTGGTGTATCTTCTTCTGATTTATTTGTAGAGTATTCTGTCTTATTTGAAGAATCATTTCTGTGCAAGTAAATATATATTTACAAAAAAATTATTTTTGTTGATGTTTTTATAACAAAATTTTATAACTTATAAAAAAAACTTCTGGTCTTTTTATTAATGTCTTTCTACTAGTATAAAGTTTATTTAAAATCTACTGCTAAAAAAATATAAGAAGTGAATAAAATTTTATATACAAAATATAATAAATTACATTGGTCAATAAATTAAAAAACATTGTTCTATACATATATATATATAACATATGCAGTAAGTAAAAAGAAAGAATTATATGGGTATCATATTGTAACAGTTTTATAAGCAAGTCAAATAAAGTAAACATTACATGTGTTAGGTGTAATGTGCTTGTTAGTTCTTTATTTATAAAAAGAATATGTAATATATATATTTTATTGATGTAAACAATATCAGAAGTACTTTTACACTTCAGTGTGTATTATTTGCAAGATTGGTTGGCAACATTGATGTAAGTAAAAATATTTCAACTCTGGTACAAGCTGTGTGAATTCATAAATCACATAATTTCCAATGTCACAAGAGATACATGTTGTTGCAAATACACTTTCACAAACTTTTTTCGCAAAGAATCACGTTGTCTAAACTAGATGTTTGACAAGCAATCTCAACTGTAAATACTCACGTCCTCGACGTGCTATTTGTTTCATTAGAGTCGTAGTAGGTGCTCTCGTCGATCACCGAGCTGCGTTTGGATCCTTTGGCAGATTTTTCAACGACGTCCTCATCGCTGTCGGAGATGACGAAGGATTCTTCGTTCACCTGATGTCTCGGCGAGGAAGTCGCCCAGTTGCGTGAAAAAGTTTTCGCCATTCCTTATATTCTAAATCTTCAAACCACAGAAAAATCTGGTTGCTGATACTTTCGTGACATTCACAAAAACGCAGAATAATTCAGAAGCGTGATGCAGGAGAGTTCACCAGATATCTTCCTTGGCTGAGTGTTTTTTGTCTCGGATCTCAACTTGTTGACCTGTGCAAACTCGCACACCGATCAGGATCAACTGTTGTGTTTGAATTTAAAACCGACCAATAGCGCGATAGCACAGTATAGGTATTCACTCTCATATTCACTCTCCGAAAACTTATACTAAAAGTTGTCTCTCGTGCATGACCAAATCGCACAACCAACAATATGGCGGAGAGTGAACCTACTGTTCTTACCTATACTGTGGCGATAGTGCGTACTAACTCGGATTGCCAACTGTAAGAAGCTAAATTCAGAACTGTCGATAATCTCGAGATTTATCGACAGAATCGCGATGCGTTTCTGTTTCGCATCAAACCGTTTAGAATTTGAAATTTTGATTCGATTGATCGAATTGACATCACGGTTGGGTTGGAAGTTGACAGTTGACGTCTGATCGGAACAGCGAGATGCGGAGAGATGACCGATTACGCGTATGTAGATTGTAGACTCGTTCAAAGAGGAAGTTGAGATTATGATGTTCGAAATTAGTGGAATTCTACTATATAAACCAAACTGTGAGATGTTTTTATATATTTTCATCCTAACTTCCGGAAGGCTTCGACCTTTACGATCGTGTTACATTTGGAAGATTGACCATTCAGGAAAGGGTAAGATAGAGTCGAAACGTAGTTACATAATATTTGCGATTTTTTATTTTACGCGTAAGCAAATAACAAAATTATCCAAGAACAAAAAAACACCGTGTTTAACCGGTAAGTAAACAATAGAAACGTAAAACGATGACGAAATTATTTGTACTTCTCGATCAGTGTGTTAGCATACTCGATATAGCTTTGTTTTGCCGCTTCTTGCGAGGTTCCCTTTTTCTTGTTCCAGGCTTCCCACTTTGCTTTTCCTTTGAAATCCAGCATGCCAGGCTTGGCTGAAATATTGTGAGATGTACATTGCTGTTGTGCGTAATCATACTGCTAATATGTACACAAGGCAAGTTTCCTAATTTGTCTATTTTCAATAACAATCAAAATTTATTGTCTAACGTGTTCTGAAGAAAAATTCAAAATCTTTTTTTTTTTTTTTTATTTAATCATGGGATCTATATTTTTTTATTATCTTATATATGGTAAATTTTTATATTAAAAAAAATATATATACGTAAGAACTTGGGTGTTATTACATGTGTTGTTGTCGCCAACTGTAGCTTGTTTAAACAAAGCATAAAGCTCTAAAAGTTCTTCATCAGTGGGGCGTTTTGTAAGCGCCTTCACAGATTCAGCAGCTGCTTCAAATTGCTGTAAACAAAAAAAAAAAAATGTACAACTTTCGATATTATTTGATAAGTTTAAACAATTTTAAATAATACAAAAGTTTTTTTGAAGTATTAGCTAACATGTGTATGTTTCGGCAAGTGTTTATATATAATCGTGATGAAGTAACATGGCGATTGCCCTTTGAATTGAGAATGACTGTGCATTATGAGTAATTCCAAATTTGTGAAAATAACAAACTCACACACTCGAATCGTAAACATTTATAGCTACAGAAATAATCATCGAATAATCATCAAGCATCAACCAGTTTGAAATTTTTATTGATAAAATTTTTCAGGTCGCAAAAAGGCGAACAACAATAACAATTCTCGCTCGTCAAAACTTTCCTCGAGGGCATCTCGATCACGTGATAATTAAACCGTCCGTCCCAAATTTCTCCTTGGAGAAAATGCATATACACGTTAAATATCGCACGAATATACGGGACCGATAAAATTAGTATGCTGTCATCGCTCAATTTTTGCCGCTCATTTCCGCTTCAATTAAAATTCACTGCCCTATCTCGATGCAGCTTCTAAGCGAAAAAAAATATATATATATATTAATGCGGATTGTATGAATAATCGAAATTTGCACATACGTGTGTGGTAACGTAAGATATTTATATGAAAGAGTACCTGATCGAGAGACATTGCGATTGGTTGCACAAACTAGTGAGCACTGATGATCATCGATCGAACGTATGTACAAAGTTAAAAGCGCAAATCCCCACCCAACAGTACTTTTATCGCAACACGCGATTCAGGGTCGGACTAAGTATCTTTTTCTGCTTGTTTTGATTATTGCAATCTTCGCGAACGGGTTTCTTTCTTTAAAATTACCATATTACGATGTTACTAACAAAAAGAAGAATATATACTCATGATCTAGAGAAGCAAGAAAGATCTCATTTCTTTGTGATTAACAAGTGCAGAATTATATAAGAGATAAATTGAGACAATCAACTGATAAAGATATGAGATAGCTTTGACTTGTTATTACACAAAATACTGAAATTTAAACTTTCCATATGTGTACATTTATATATGTACATTTGATTAGATAATGCATATGCACATTTGATTAGATAACATATCTTAACTTATTGCTGTAGTTTGGAGAAATCTAATGACAAAATATAGAAAATTGTCATTTTTCATTTAGTGACAGAATATTTTTAAATTACACTATAAAAAGTGACAGAATATTTTTAAATTACACTATAAAAAGTGACAGAATATTTTTAACTTACACTATAAAAAGTGACATACAATATTTTATGTTTCTCACAAGTCTCGGTCACTTTTGTAGGTTGTACAACGCTTTTAATATTCACGTGCACATACACACATTTATGTGATAATTAAAAACTAATAATAAAAACTGAACTTTGCTCTGTCTGTTCATAATGTACAGAAGCAAGAATTTGATGTTGTTTACTAGATGCATACCTGAACGCTTTAAAATTTATTCCGGAAAAAAATACTAAATATTCAAGCCGTTTTTATGTGTATTCATAAACCTTGATTGTGAACTGCGCATTAAAAAAGTGTTATTTAAAAGAAGAAACCTTTGAAATTTCATACCATTTTCACTGAGTAATGTCTTGAAGATACTTCTGATCGCGAAATGATTTCTCCTCAACTTTTAGAAAACGACAGTTTTTCCTTGAAATCTCTTGTATAATTAATATTAAAAACTTATACATACACACACACACGTATATAACATACGTTGTATTTAAAGTTATTGTACAGATTCAGAGCCGCTATACCGACCAAGCCAAGTCCCTAAACATGAGTAAAAATTTCATAAAAAATCGTATGAATTTATCTCAAAGTAACTTTCTACATTAAATATTCTTTTTTGTAAGCGACAAAAAAATTAAATATTATTAATAGTAAAATATTTTTATATATTTTACTATTTTTAAAAACGTGTTTTTCTAAAAATTCTCATACATCTTCAGTTGATTATAATTTAAATAAATAGTAGTTTTTAAATAAGCGTTTAATTTAAATAAAATTAGCATTCGACGTTTCTGTTAAAGAAAACCTGATGAATTTTAAAGTCAGTGTATTTGGGAAGAATGACTCGCACGATGAGAATCTATATAGGAGGAGTTTCTACAAAACACGGTGCACCGGTTTTCTAGAATCAACCGTAGAGAACACCGTTAGTTTGCAATCGACGCAATAACGTCGATCTATGAAATATTTCTGCAACTTTACGCCAACGTTTTTAAACTCACAACGCGATAATGCAGCAATCACTATTCATGTCACTCATCACCAGATACGTTAACATTTTAAAAAAACTTTGAAACTTTTGCATGTAGTCTGCAAATTTTGGAATTTTAATTTTCACAGAATCACAGATAATTGTTTGTACAATATCTTTTAATTTTTATTATCTTTTCTTCTTTTTATTCACTTAATTTTCTGTGACAGAATTGATATAGCTCGACAATTAGTTTTATTTAGATTTTATTTGGACATGTTTTAAAAAAACTCTCTGTGACTTGAAAGTTATATATCAATTTTTTCGTTAAATTTCTTTTTTTTTTCTAATAATATAACAATGTACCTTGTCTATATCGGTCGACATTTTGAATGCGAATCCGTTTCGTGTGCGAGCTGACTGTCTACTGACAGCTAGTTCTTAATCACAAATTCTACGTTTACTGAGTCTCCGGACAGTTTGTGACTCCGGACATCGACTTGGTGGGGAGCGTGCTGATTCACCGTGTCGTGTTTAAAATCTCGAGAAGAAGGAAACCCGACGAGATTAGGAATATGCGCACGATTACACGTGCGTTAATAGTCCGTTCTAATTTTTGCAAATCAAACGAGCACGCGCGTACGAGAGTTGCATTTTTTTCCGAAACATTGAAATTTTTTGGTTTAACGTACTGTGATTTAATCGTGTAATTAGATTACACAGACTGGGGTCGTGTAATCACGTTAATAAGTTCCTCAGTGCGCCAACAAATTAGATGTTACGTGATGATGAGGGCATCAAGCTAACAGTAATCTCTACACGATGTAGAATAATGTTGCAACGTGCGCTAACTTGACAGAAAGAGAAAGAGAGAACACGCTAATTATTTTAAGATTAAATAATACGAATGTAATGCAAAGATAATGTTGAGTCTCAAGTTTCATTTGCATTTGAGGAATATAATGTGTGTAAGAACTGCAAGAATTTATAATTTTAATTATTACACTACATCAAAGTTTTATTTTTATTATGTTATATTACGTAATTACACACACATTTATTATTCTATATCGTTTTTATGATGATAAATCGAAACAGATTTGCCCAATACGTAACAATTATCAGATGTACAAAAGTAGCACAAAACGTCATTTCATCATCTGTTCTTATTTCTCTTAACGTAACAAATGACTCACGACCGGGTCGTATTTTATTATCGTGCTCCACTTTGCAGAGAGGAGAGCCTTCTCTGAATTAATAATTTCTCTGGTCCTTGCACGGCTGATGTTCGGGGAAGAGCGAACGGGGTCAACGTGCCACATCAGGATCCCAGACTCACCTGCGGAGGAATGTAAGAATTCTCGACTATATCCCACTCTAACGCACAGGTTTATTTCACACCATTTACTTTAAGCGTGTACGCTTGTGTTCACAGTGTAACGCACACGTACACGGTGACGTTTTACAAACAACAATTTCGTTTACGTAACTTTCACATTTTTCACTCACGAAGGTGATTTCTTTTGCGCGATACGTTTTGCGCGTTAAAAAAAAAAAACAAACGCGGAAATGTTTATTGTTTAAAATTTACACACACAAATAAGTAGCACAAAATAAAAGTTGTTTCGAGAACGTTCTATTTACAAATACTTTTCGCAATGTATTCGATCAACTGATTCCAATTTCAGAACAAACAGTGTTGAAAAGTTTAATGGAAGACTACGTGAAAACTGCATAACGCACAAAAGAATTGTCGTGTGTTACGTACAACACGGGAGACAGCGGGCGTTTTTGATTATGAAAACGCGCACGAGAATGAAACGGAGAAACTCGCCGAGAAAGAATGCGGAATCACTGCTAAACCGTTTCGAAGGTGTTGGGCACGGATGCGTTGTAGCCAGGCTTCATTTTTCCTCAACCACGTTGCGCATCCTTCGTTGCGGAATGACGCATCGGACTACAAAACCGACATCCCGCGAACATGTTCAACAAGAAAGTGAGTTTTTAAATCACACGAGCAGAAATATGTCAGAAGCAGAGAAATCTTGGAACAAAAATTCAACCGTATTTTTTGTGCGATGTTGCGGTTGAAGTGCAATCATAATTACACATAATTTAAGATATATCTTATGTTATTCTAGAAATGTGCAGAGAGTTACTTTCGCTAGTTATACTATAAGTATCTTAAATTTTGCGAATAAAAAGTTGTGTGTGTGCGTGTGTGTGTGTGTATAACGCGAGATACCACAGATAAAAAATATAAAGTCTAGATATATGGTATTAGTCAGATAGTTGTTCAAATATTTAAGGATCTAGTTAGGGCAAACTAAATAAAATATTTCGACATAAAAATTGTGTACGAACAGATGTCATAAAATTTCAGTATCAGGTTCGTAAACTTTCCGAATAAACTAATCTTTTGTTGACGTACACACATACACAATACAGTTATTGGTCAATGGTATTGATTATAGCGTGTGCTCAGAGATAGAAAGAAACCGGCGCATCGTTAAAACACTCTGTGATAATATTTCATTTATCTTATCACGCAGAGAGAGAGAGAGAGAAAGAGAGGAAACAATTTTAGACCGAGTATTTTTCTAAATACTCGGTCCAAATAACGCCGCGCGTTATCACTAAAATTAGTAATTAATTCTTGATTCTTCTTGAATGAATTTACTAATGCGCTTGCGCTCATCACATGAATACTTCGTGAAAAAACTTAAATTGTTGCGCGATAGATTTTTACGTAGCCGGGGAACTGGGGAATCGGAACGGGAGCTTCTCTCGCAAGCTGCGGCACTGTCGCGCGTGCGCGGAGTCTCGCCGAGCCGACGCGAGTGCGCGGACGGCGCCGCATGATTTGTCGCCGTTGAGCGCGCGCCGCTCGATCATTGGCGATCGATCATCGGCGACGGTCGGGTCCGCTGCGATCGGTGCGCGCGTTCTATCGCGTGATCGTCGTATAACGCTGTTGTATATTTGCGGACGTTGTTGCGTTCATTGCCGCGTTCATCGTCGCGCGATGCAGGTGCAGTGTTTTCACGGGAGTGCGCGAAGTACATGACTGGTCGCGCACGTTTCTCTGACATTTACTCCGAATGATCCCGGCGAAGTGTCAACGTAATCACAACGAAGATACCGGAGCCCGCGAATCATGAGATCTTCGCAAAACAATTTTTGCGCGTGACGTGACCCGAGTTGAAAAACGGTAATAATCCGCGCTGTTACGGAATGCACGGTGTGTGCCACTATCGTCGATTTTTAACACGTATCGATTTTAACAGGAATTTGAAATCAAACACGATAAGAACTTCGGAACAATTCGCACTTCCGGCGAAATCAAAACTTGGCGGAAAGAAGCAGTCTATTGTTATAAAATATCTTACGTTTGATCAATTAAATCTGATACAATACCGACTTCGTCCGAGATTGATTGTACTACGTAATCACAGCTAGCTCACCGATTAAATCGCAAGAAAAAAAAAACAAAGAGACGAAGTTTAGAACCGCGGTGACAAATATTTGCGTAGATAAAATTGCGGAGTTATCTGTCGATTATCCCATCAATCTTGTATATTTCGTTTGTATATTCTTCTTGTATTTATATAACGTTGTATAAGAGTCTACTCGTGCGTTGTTTTTTTTTTTTTTTTTTCGAAGAATACACAGTTAGAATACGTCGCGAAGTCGCGGAAGAAAAAGAAACACTTCACGAAGTTTAAACGCTTCTGGAAACAACGATATGTGTAACGATGACGGTAGTACGAATAGACTCTCGTGTATGTAATTGCATAATGAGCAACCATTGTAATTGCCGAACGGCATGCGCAGCATCGCAATCGACGATCATATATGCACGCACGATGCTCGTGATAAGGGCGTAACACGCACTGCTTATCGTGGTGCTTTCGCGGAAATGTTTGGATGTGCGGTTCTTTTGCATCCTTTCCGCACACCGGATTAACGACAGATAATTCTTTTTTCTGCGCTCTTTTCGCTCTCTCTCTCTCTCTCTCTCTGTCAGGTCACGTTTAGCTTGTCAATATCCGAGAAGACAAGTGTCAATCGGGCACTTGTCTTCTCGGACGATAAACAAGTAGAAAATAGCCTGAAATTGACAACAACACGCTACTTAAAAGCTAAAAAAAAGAAAGAAACATTAGAAATAATAAAAAACTGTTTTAAAATAAAGTTTTTTAAGAATTTTAACTAAAAAAAAACGAGTGCGTAAAAATAAAACCTAAATTCTAAGTCTAATTAAAAAAAAACCACTAATAAGCAATATAAAATGTTAAAATTAACGCGATCGAAAATCTTGATGATTTTCAGATTGAGCGCAAGAGAGCAACAAGTGTGCGATGAGACAGCTAAAAGATAAAAACTCTAATTTCTACTATACGTGATGAAGTGACGGAAGAAGTAAAGTGAATCATATAACACAGCACTCGTCATCGTCGTAAAAAAGAAAAGGACAAGATGAACCCTTCGCTCACTGCCAATACAAGTTTCCTACATGGGAGTGGTAAGGCTGCCCTGATTTCCGACAAAGTTATTTACGCCACTCTCGATAGTTTAGCTTTGAAACAAACGAGATTGCCCTTGCGACTGCTTCCTGTGGACTGCGACAACGTCGCGGACAAGACGGACAAAAAATCGGACAAGGAGAGGACGCTTGTCAATGGGAAAACGTCGCCCAAACGACCGTCTTCCAAGGTACGTTTGGATGAATTTTTCTCGTGCGCGAGAAAACTTTTCGTCGATTTTTCAATATTGTGTTTCACAACAATCGACACTTTGTAGAACAACTTTGATCGACAAACGCGTGTTTATATCTCTTTCTATACTCGAGGGAAAATTTGAACGTTTACATGTGTGCGCACATACTTTGTCACTTTTGTCACGTGTGACATTATCGATTGACAGGGCGATAAAATACGGAATTTTAATACTCTCTTCACGAAATCACACAAACACACACGTACACGCGTTAAAGAAGATATTACATGAATGAAGACGCAGTCTTGGTGGTTCGACTTGCGTCTCAAAATAATCTCTTTAAATTCCCAGTAATGGAGGAAAACTCTTCGATCTCTCTCTCCGTTACTTCTGCGTATGTAACCCGGATGTGTATTTAAAAACAAGAGTTTACGCGACTCTCGTTAAGAGCAGCCGAGACCTCCGAGATGTATGATGTTTTCTCTCACGTACGCGGCATACGCGCGTATGCGGATACACGAGCAAAAGGATGCTAATAGTCGGAGGAGTGGCTTGGTTTAAAGTCTCAGCGATGCTAACTTACCAAGTCGGATAAGAATCGCGACGAGAGAGTCACTTCGTGACTCGGTGCCGTCTTTGCAACGTCTTTGCCATTACGCGCGTTAACGGGATATCTGCGAAAAAAAAAAAAAAAAAAACATGGCACGGATCGCCGAAAAAGACGAACAACAACTTTTTAACGGTCGAGACTTTTCCGAGCGCGATGTTCTTTTATTGGCACGATACCGTCTTTATTGCGGGACAAAACGCGATTTTCACGGGCGTTCCTATCGGTTTGATGAGGATATTGGAATGCGAGTGACGGGTAGAGAGAACAAACGCGACACCGGCTTATAATTTATATACATTTATATTACACGTACACAATTGTATATATACGCGTGTTGGTATCCCGTAAAACCGCGAAATTCCATCTAGTCACGACGGATTATCGTCTTGTAAAAACTTTACCCTCGTAAACTTGACAAACCGATACGAAGAGAAACGTTAGTATTTCAATTTGTTGTGTATATAATTTGTAGAAAAATATATACAGTGTGGTACAAAAATAATTCACACACACAAACGCACACACACACACATACAATTTTGAGATAGAAAAAAGAGAGAAAATGGTATTACACATTATTTCTAACATAATTGTGAACGAAGCGAATTGTCGAGAAGCTTTCTCCTTAAAAATCTCCTCTCCTACGAGAGACACTTGCAGCGAGACTCGTTCAAACAGTTGTCCGTTTAATTCGTCGTTAGGTGAAATCCGGGGCAAGTCATCAACGGAAAAGTTACACCAAGTGTCTGGTCTTCTCTTCCACGAAGTCGGAGAACGAGCCGATCGCTAGAACATTCGATTCTGCAAACGCGAGTATCGTAAAATCCGAAATCGATTCTCGAGAAAATACAACGAGAGAAAACGTGGAAAATTCGTCGTCGGTGGCGGAAGAATCTCTGATTGAAGACTCGCGAAATAACAACAGCGACGATTTGACACAAACGGAGCAGGATTTTTGCGACAATTTTGCTAACGATCGGTGTGAGAAAGAAAAATGTTCCGTCGAAAGAAAAGACTCCAGTTCGTCCAGCGACTACGAGGAGATGAACGCGGTAACGGACTACGAAGCGTCCGCGTTCGAAAATACGTCCAGTTTCGTAGCGTCAAACAAAACATCATCCGAATCCGCAACGCACGAGAGGAATATTTCAATTGTTTCGAAAATAGCCGCCAAATCGGAATCCACCGACGATCTAGCTTCGCGAGAGGATGTGTACGAAAATGTCTTCGTGGAATCCCGATCCAATGAAAACGTGAGATCGATCACGAGCGACGAGAACGACAGCGTGTCATCAGCGCGACAAAAGAAACAAAAGAAACGTTTCACCAGGAATGTGTTGCATTATGTTCCTCGTCATCTGGTGAAACACGCGAAGAAAAAGAAAAAGAAACTAAAGAAGTCGTACACGCTGAACAGCTCGGTTAGCTCGTTCAAGTCGTTACAAACAACGCCCGTGCCCAAGATAATTCAAGACTCACCTACAGCCAAGATCAGAAGCTTATCGAGACAGGAATTGAAGGACGTGATTATCTCGTCGCCCACGAACTTTGTTCATGTGGCGTCCGCCACGAATTCCACATTGATTCGGGACACCGCCGAGTCCAGTCTGGAGCAAGTCGTGATTACTCATCAGCAGATATGCGCCACGTTGCCTCTACTCGTTGGAAAGGACGACGAGGGATACAAGGTTGGGAATGAGAACACCGAGCGGCTCAAGGTCGCTGTAGAAATGTCTCCGACAAACGACGACGTGATTTCCAACCAACCCAATGGAGAAGACCAATCAGCCATCGTAAGCATTACGGGTACGCTCTCTCTCTCTCTCTCTCTCTCTCTCTCACTTGAGAAGCATTGTCAGATTTCTTTACCGAGTTCGATAATCGAGAAAGAATTTATGCAAATGTTCTCTTGCACAAGTGAGGCTCGATTTGCGCGATTGTGCCTCGGGAATTTTGTACTGTCGTTATTAAAAAAGTTCGATAAATAAGTAGCTTTTCGGGAATAATAAAAAATATGCAATTAAAAACTAATTATAATACGATTACAAAATAATTGTTTGCTATAGAAATGTAAAAAAAAAAAATCAGTAGAAGTTGTAGAAATAAAAACTAATGCGTAATTATTATTATTTTATGAGTGAGTTTTTAAAAGAGTAAATGATAGACAAACATTATCTCGAAGAATAGTGTTTCCGTCGATGATGCTATCAAAATGTTCGAGGCGAGGTCTTTACGATAAATTTCATTACAGATAAGAACAATCAAACGCACTACGCGGAGATAAAGAATGATTTCTCGAGGGAATCGCAATCACAGGCGAAAGTTTTGGACTGCAGCCAGGTGGTGAAAACCGCGATCGAGAATCAGGCCGATTTGCCGGAAGGTGAGACATACGAGCCGGTCTGCGAGTTTTCCCCTCAGGCGAACCTGCCGCAAGCCAATTACAGCTTTCTGTGGAACGGCCATCGGACCAAGAATTTTCTAAATGACAAGCACGACTTAAACACACCTGCGTGTCACACCTCAAAGGAAAACGACGAAAGCGTCGACAGCGAGGGATATGATGATATCGGACCGTCAAACTTTGTCGCTCAAACGGTATTGGAATTAACGTGTGAAACTTTCGTTATCGCTAATCTTGATGAAATAGAATTTTTGTATCGACGTAATTCCGCGCGTGAAACGAGATTTTCGGTTGGTTTAATCTAACGGAATTTTCCGCGCAACAGTCTTGATTTGCGAAAGTCGAGTAAAAAAGCTGCCTGGTGAAAAAAATTCCGAATTTATTCAGTTGAATAATGAAAAAATTATATAAGTATTTGCACACAAAACTACAAAAAAATAAAAAATAAAATAAAACATTGAAATTAAAAAATTACTTAAAAATTAGTTTACAAAAAAAGAAAACAAAATTTATGTTCAATATTCTATTGCGTTCGTAATCGATATTTTTTTTTCGAACGTTTACTGCCGTCGATTAAGCGATCTTACTTTCGTGCGATTGCTTAATGCTAAATAGTGCACAAAATTGGCAATCGACGGCGAGACGGAATGTAGAATCGAATAATCAATTTCGCGCGCGAAATATTCGCACCGTGTGTGAATTAGGGACGGAAATGCGGCATCGAAATTTGCACTTCGTAATTTGATTCACTTCTCTCTTCAAATTTCGCTTTTGAGACTGTTATTTTTATGCACATTACGCACATTTAATAAAAGAGAAATAACAAGTGACGATGTCGCACAACTTATCGGCACAGCTGTGTCACTTAACTCGATGCTTTTTGCAAAAATGACAAGGTCATAAAATCTCATATTAGGAATCCGATTACGATGACGTGGGTTTGCCGACCGCTCGCTCCGATGTCAAGGAATTCACCGTTAATACCGAGGACGACTGCGAGGAGATTTACGACGACGTGCTACCACCTGGCATCAGGAGCGATTCAACAGCCGTCGAGGAAGACGACTATCTGATTCCGGAGACCGCGTCCGAGGAACCGTCGAGGAAGGAGCAGTCCGTGGAATCGCGAACGATTTCCAACGGTCGCGCGAGGGAACGCGACGCTTCGTCGACGATCGGAAGGAGCGGCGATCAGTATTTATTGGCGACGAACAATGAATATTCCAGCGTGGACTGCGACAATCATCTGAGCGCAGAGGAGCGGGACGAGATGGGTGTGTATGACGACGTCGGTCTGCCGCCCGGCGAGGAACGTGTCAATAGCCTTTACGCCAGCTCCACACCCGGCTCTGTCTTAGGACTGACTTCGATGAACGGCAAGGAATCCGAGTGGGAGGACCTGGAAGAGGTCTCGAGCGTCTCGCATTGCCCTTGTCAGACCAATGATCCATGGTAAGCATGAAGGCGGGGGAAAAAAAAAAAAACAATAGTGGGAAAAGAGAGAAGGGAAACATAAATAACGCTTGTCTTATCTTGTTTTTCGGTATTCTTTTTATCATCGAAACTAAAATCCGGTATATTTGGAGAACAAAAGAATTTTAAGAAACAAATGTAATAGAGCGCTACGATTTTTACTCTTGCAGGTGTAACACAAGATAAATTGAGTGAGAAATAACGGAGTTAATTGTGTTACATGGCGATGTAAAACAATTATCGGGAAACCCGGTCATCCTATCTGAGCAATGTGCAAGTTGCAGTCGTAGGAATTCGCTCGGCGCGCGCGCGCGCGATAAGACTTATTTGAAAGCTTTTCCGCGGCCTCGCGATAACGGCGCGAAGTCGAAAACATCGCGGCTGGTTGGCATTTATTTTGACCGGAGACGATTAATCAACGTTTAGAACCGCGAACGCTTCTTCTAATGCGCGATGTCCTCGCGCGGGAACAACAGACGATTCGTCGCAAGTGTTTCGCAAACAAAACATATACATGTGTGTGTACCGGGAATCGTTGTAACGATAACGCAGCGCGATTAAAAAGTGCGCGACGCATCAGCGCGCGCTAACATCGCGATCGTTATCGCCGCATTCCGCACCTAAAGAATCAACGAATTGTCAACGTGATTAATACAACGCGCTCTCATCATCGCATTAATTATAAACGCTGACACAAAGACAAGATAAGACGTACTTCGTACGTCATATTTTTTTTTTTTTTTGATACGGTAAAATAATCTTCACATCAATTGTGCGAATGTTTCGTGACGTGTGTTCTTTTTAAATTTCACAGCGAGAAGGAATACGACAAACAAGCGGCGTCGAGCAAAAAGAAATTCTCGCAGCGGTGGTCGCGAAATGCCAGAAGGCAACGATCCAGGAGATCGCGCAGGAGCATCAAGGCGACGAGAAAAACAATCACCGCTCCCGTCGACGGTGAGTACCGACGAAGACAATTTTACTATTAGGTAACGTCGCAGGTAACGCAATGTCGCTAAGAATACAACTGGGTGTTCTCCTTGGAGAATTCCCGCTGTAATTGCCGGCGTTCTACAAAATCGCGTGTATGTGCGCGCGCGTGAGACTTGTCTATCGGAGAATCAACCGCCGCGCGCACATTGTGTGCGTTAAATTGCGCAGCGCGCGAATCACGTGCGCGTGAATTAACGCTCGCGATTGCAAATTGCTTGTCGAGTGACACGCATACAAAATTAAAACGCATTTCTTTGATTTGATATAATCACATATGTATCGCATTAACAACACATTGAACTTTTGTATCGCGTGTGTTTTGTTTCTTAGAAGATCTCGAGAAGAGGAATCCTTGCACGCGAGAGATAATAAACTTATCGTCACTTGTCTTCTTCAGTCTCGCGGCAGTCTGATGGCAAACGGTAAAAATAACCGTTGAGATAGAGCGTCGAATATACAGCGCGCGTGATTCGATAACGCCGATATTTATAAAACGGACAGAGATGTTGCTCAAGTATTCGTCACGGAACTATCCGGTGACTTTTCTTGAGTGGTTGTTGCGGTTGACGATGTTAGCTAGTTCCCGTAACTGTGTGTGTTTCGACAATTCGTACTTTCGACACCGCTGTCGATGATGCAGTCCGTCCGAGCAACACGTTGCACGTGACACGACTTGCACAAACTTCGCCACGGTGTAACATATATATATATATATATGTATATATAGTATATACACACACACACACGCTTCTTGGGAACAAACAGCGAAAAACATTTGCGTGATACTCGAAAGTAGAAGGCAGATTGTCAAAAAGTTGTCGAGATAACAGAGAAACCGATCGGCTATTACTCTTGTTGCATGTTACTAATAATATTCTGTTATCGCCATGTTGTGTGTGAAACACCGGAAACGCGTCAACAAGTCCATTGACAAAATTATGTGACGAAAAAATTACATCACGAACAACAAGAGATTTTATGTAAGATTCTGTTGTAAGGCAAGCACCGCACGTGAATTAAAATACAATCGAGACTTTTTCCGACGAAGATGCCGTTAAAGGGACACGAGCAGAGGCGCGTTGGAGAAAAATAGCTCGTACATCGAACGAACAACGCGTGAGAGTTTCACATTCTGCTCGATTCGTGGACGATATCACACACACACACACACACAGTCTCGTAATTACAGAGTTCGAGAAAGTCCTGATCGATTTTTTCAATATCGCGAGACGTCGATCGGAACTTTCGTGTTAAGTCGCGGAAGAGACGTGTGTCATACCTGGAATTTCCAAGTCCAGTTCGGGCGAAGGGAAAATTAACATGCCAGAAACATCGCAGCGCGAACGGTTGTATCACGTACATCTACCGCGTGATATTTCAACGACGAATGTGTGTAATCTCAACAGTGTCACGGCCGCGTATCCGCGATCGCGCGCGCGCGCCGACGTTTGTTGTTCGCGACAAACGTCGTATCTACGAAGTATCGTAGGCGGTTTGCAGCGTAATTGACCCGGCGTGTGTGCCGCAGCGCACACCCGGTACCGCCTTTAATTGAAAGACCAAGGTCGCGCGAGGTCGAGCGACAGAGCATCCATTCTCCATCAATTCCGAGTGCACATCGTGATCGGAATGTTTTTATGCGAGTCGCGAGAGTTGCCGCCGCGCGTCTTCCTCGTCACATTGTCCGGCAAGCATCGGACAGGTTCTGTTGCGGCACGTAGTGTCGCAATTTGTGTGAAGGCATTTCATACAATAGCTCCGTGAGCTTTTATTGAATCCGTGTCTCGAGGGAAAAATAAAAATTGATGTCACGTCAGAGAGAAAGAGAGAGAGAGACGGCATTTAATTTCGCGCGGAATAAAAAGACGAAACCGCGCATTGTGTGTAGATACCATCGGTAAGGACAGTCACATGGTTAGACGGCGGTATTCAGGTAAAACTTGCTCGTCACATGTTTCTGTGACTGTTCGCACGTAATGTACATGCGTGCGTTAACTCTTTTTTTTTCGATCTATCTCTCTCTCTCTCTCTCTTTATTTGCCTGCAACATGCAAGCGCCACATGCGGATCGCCGCTGTGTTGTTGTTGGACGAGGGATGTCGCAAGCCGTTGGTAGAGCAGTGACGCAGAATACACTTTTATTCGCGAGGGAAAGAACTCCACATCTCGCGCTCGAAAGATCCGAAATGCCGTCGAGCAAAAAACACCGGACGAGTAGTATTGAAGAACGAACTTGTAGAACGAACTTCGATGCGAACATGCGGTACAACATGATCGATACAAGCTGAAAATCCGTTATTAAGCGAAGATTTATTTAGCCGCCGATGGGATAATAACCGCCTGATGAACGAAGACTAATGACAGCGATAATAAAATTCATCGAGCAACTGTGCTCTCCGTCGCGAAACCGACAACGGTTTCTATGACGAGCGTTCCGTTTTACGGAAAAGCGATTTCATTTTGTACGGTCGTTGCCTCGAACATTAACGATCGACTATATCAGAAGCGCGCGCCGCTCACGCTCGATGCGCGCGATAATGAAAATCTTCATCATCCTACGCTCATATAACGTGCTTGCCTCGTCTGCTCATTAACTCGCTCGCTGGAAAATACGTGGCTCGCATCGAAATTTGTCGAAGACTCTAATTACTCTTTTGAATCTATTTTATATTTTAATTATTTTTACTCCACGCTGGAAACATTTTTAAAAAAACGGTAGAAATGTAACTTAAAGAAAATCTGATGTTATTTTCTTGGATGTGTGTTTTTATTTTATCTCGATCTGATCCCACGTTCCTGACAGCGAGATAACTGTATCTTAGGAAAAAAGAAGTCTTTATTAGCTTAGATCGTGGCGATTACGTGATACTTGACACGGTTTGCGAGTAATATACGACCGATACGACATGAGAGATGTGTTGCGTTTAACAAATGCAACACATGCAAAGTACATCAAGGTTGTTATCTATTGGACTTGGATCATCGCATTACGTGCCAATATCTGATAATGATGTTTAACACATTTTTTTGCAGATGGTTTGATTTTGCAGATAATTTGCAATCGTCATTTAATCCCGTACGTTAAATCGTCGTTTTTTCTCAGGACGCTGGTTTTTTTTTTTTTTTTACATAAGCGCTAGCGGACAAACACAACAGTTGCGTGGAAATCGCGTGGAAGTCAGCTTAAATAGGGACTTAAACAGCTCGTGTGTGAGGGCTCCTTAAGAAACCAGCGTGCGAGAGGTGAAAGCGCCAATTGCGCGCTCTCATTGTCAGTCACGGCCGAGCCGCGGGCTGAATCGTACGGTGCTTCTTCTCGCGCAGATCGGAAAGGACTCCGCAAAAAAGTGTTATTTCTCTTCGCGCTGTGTGTGTATGTGTGTGTGTGTGTGTGTGCGTAAGACGACGCGACGTCGAAGCGTGTGATCTGTCGCGAACGCGTCCTGCGTACGCCGGAGCTCTCGAATTTGCGCACCGACGAGATGTGGAAATGAGAGAGACGCTGACGACCCGACGACCCAACACGCAAGGTAAGAAGAGTGAAGAAACAAGAAGAAGAAGAAGAAGGCCCGCCGTTATTCGCGCGCGCGAGCCGGACGAAATTTCAGGCGAACGGACCCGGAGAACAATGGCTGGCGGTCGGAGAGAATCTGCTCCTCCGCGAACGTCCTTGATGTCGAGAAATCACCGTAAAAGCTATTATTTTTTCTTTCTTGGCTTCGCCAAGTACTGAGTAACTTCACTTTCAAGTTCGAGTAATTAACGCGTCGTTAGTCCCGCGATTGCGACGCGACTTCGCTATATCAGTGTTAAGATAGGGATGCGTCGCCATTTTTGCTTTTTTTTTTTTAAGCGTTAGGTAGTTGTTTTAAACTTGAATTTCTCATTGACGATATTTGTCAAGAGCTCGCGCCTCATTTTTTTTGACAATATCGACAATTGATTCGAATCAGTTGGATCTTCAGGTGGGAAGCGCGCGCGGTCTGAGCCGCGAGAGAGTAATGAGAGAGTTTCACTACTACTTTCTTTCAGTAATGAGAGAGTGGAAGAGGAGATCGGTGAAGAGAGATGTGCTCGAACCGTGATCTCCTCTCAAAAAAGCTAGCTTGTCGAGTTCGCAGTCTCCTCGTCATTATTATTTGTACAATGTGCAAGTGAATCTCGAAACAATCTCGAGATTTCGAATAATATGTCGTAAATTGCGTCGACGACGTCGCGCGCGACGACAGTAATAAAATAAAATAAAATGATCGCTGACGTTAAAATTTGCATCGCGAAACGAAAGTCGTCGTCGATGAAACGTTAAAATCCCGGTGGGGAATTCGATCGGGTGTGGAGGGAATTTCTCGTCGTGTCCACGGCCATATTTGACTCACCTCGCGCATAAATTGTCCCCGTGTCGTTTCCCCCGCCTGCCTGTGTTCCCTTGTAAAACCACGCTGGTCCAGCCGCGGTAGTCCGGCGCGCGTGGGCACGCGTCTCTCGGATAACATCGCGCGATCGGCGGGCCTGACCCTGAACCGGTTGATTTTCAAGTGGCCGTCAGTCTCGGCGGCGGATCGATTCTTCTCATCGGCGAGCCCGAGAAAATCGTTGTGGAACAGAAACCGGCGAGTCGGCACGACGACGACGACGACGATCCGCAAAAGACTCGGGGCTTGGTGCAGCTGCGCGTCCTGAACCTCGACGAAGATGCGGACATCCAGGAGACGTCGTGTTACGTGCACGAAGGTCTGCGCGATATCATAATTTCAGTTTGTGATGAAAATGTAACAAACGCGTTGAAAAATAAAAACTACGGAAGAAATATATCAGTTCCGTGCTTGTTGAATTGAATTTTATTCTGTAATGTACTTTCTTTTCAGAGATGTAATCGCACACCTTCTGATTTTTAATATCGACAACAATATTTTTAAGAACTTGAATCGTTCGTTGGATGATGTTGCGTGTAAAGTATTGCCGCGAAATGTATATATTGCGTTGTAGATGTTTAAGTTAATTTAGTCGCAAACTACACATTACTCTAACGTTATATATATATATATATATACGCATAGACAAAACAAACAAAAACAAAAATTAAAAATTTAAGTAATTATTGACATTGATACGATAAGTTTTCACTTTTAAATCTGTTTAGATAGCGTTTCCGACGATAGCACGTACGAGAGCTTGTATTCCTGTCAGCCGGATGACTTCAGCAGCGATTCGGAAACGGAAACGTGCAATGGACGTAGTAGGCATTGTCACGATGCCCTGAACGATCGCGTTATCAGCAATTATCTGGAATGCCCCCCTATGAGACCAACTCCTCCCCCGCCGAGGGAGGCCAGTCTAACTCAAACTCTGGGCAGGCGGATAAAGATGCTGCGCAGAACGTGGAGCATCACGAAGGGTAGTCTCGGCAGGATCAGACGACGACCGTCCGTAGACGAGTCTGGTTTTGACGACAAGGAGTCCGGCAACGAGAATCATCACGTCGACACCGGGAAGTACTTCAATTTTCGATTGAGGAACTTCAGAAAAAGTATCGCCACCCCGCCGATTTTCTATCTAGACGGGAACGACAAAAATGACAACGTCCGCGGCGCGCGCAACAACAACAACGGGATCGTCAAGGAGACGATTTACACCAATAGCCAATACATGGGAAGCGGTAGCGACGATTCCTCGAGAACTCCGACCGGTGCTGAAGTCGGTGAGTTGTGAACGGTGATTTTCAAGTGTTGTTTATTATTATTATTTTTTTTTTTGACTACATTACAATTTAAAGTTTAGGAAGTAAATATTGAAACAAATATCAATTAAATCTCGTAAACGAGCGTAAAGAATTCAAATATTTTGAAATAATAAATTTGACAAAAAGTCACGAAAGTTCTGTTGCAAGAAGAAACGAATTTTACGAGTGCGCTCAACGAGAGTGATCCAATTTTAGCGGGCAAAGGCTAAATTTAGCGATTCTCACAAAGCCAAATATTGGGACTTTTTGCCACAACAGGATATTCCCACATGTTTTATACCACTCACTCGTTCACTAACGCGTGAAAAGCGCGTACGCTTGCACTTTCACTGAAGAGACTTAATGATACTTCCGTTCTTAAATTAATTAACGATGTTACGTGAAGTTCTTTCGAATCCATGCTCGGTGATTAATTTTGTCGCTAGTTTTTTTATATGAGAAGCCGCACCACAGTGACAAGATAATATCACGTTTTGTAGATCATTACAGCGTGCTTGCCGACCAAGAGCCTCTCTACCAGTTTTACGCGGCCGCGGTGGCTCGTGTTGCTTTCGAATCAGACTCCGAAGGTTACGAAGAGGTAATATTTTCGTATAAGATAAAACGTGTATAAAAAAAAAAAAAAACGGTTTTCTGTGCGTCAAATTAAATTTTGTGTTTATTTTTTTTTTTTTTTTTTACAGGTGGAAGATGCGACGTGCAAAAGGGAATCGACGGTTCTTGCGAAATCAGGACAAAGAATGCTTTGGTGTCACACCCCGCAAGTGATCCACAGTGGCCTCTTGCGTATGTTTTAAAACGCTTTTGTAATCAGATACAAACATTACGTCTGACGTGTAAAATTAAAATTGTTCAACGATATTTCAGAGAGACTAACATCGGAGGAGAAGAAAATTCAGGAAGCAAAGTTCGAGATCTTGACTTCCGAAGCGTCGTACTTAAATTCTCTTCGGGTCCTAGAGAACGAGTTTCTCAACAATAGTCTTATGAATGAGATTCTGTCGCAAAACGAGAGAAAGAGATTGTTCGGCGGAGTGCCGAACGTGTTGTCGACGTCGCAAACGTTTCTGGCCGAACTGGAAGCTGTGTGGAGAGCAGATCCGATGTTGCCGGGCTTGTCGGAGGTTTTGCTCAAACACGCCGAGAAATGTCAGGCCACGTACGTGGCCTATTGCTCGAATCAAGTTAGCATAGACACAACGTTGAAAGAACTCAAGTAAGATACTCAGCGAAGAATACAAACATGTTTGTTAACAATGTAGTTATTATTGTGTTTGTTTGACCGCAGAGCTCGGAAAGGCGTGAAGTTTTTGGAGGCCGTCAAACGCATCGAAATGCGACCAACGTGTCAAAATTTGTCTTTGCATTCTTTCCTAATGCTGCCAATGCAGCGCGTCACAAGGTGCGTGTGCAACAGTAAGAGTTTGTCGAAAATATTTTTACGCGTGTTAAAATAAAATCTTCTGCGCAGACTACCTTTGTTAGCCGATGCCATTCTGTCCAAACTGTCGATGGATCATTCGGACAGAGCGTCTTGGGAACAGGTTTTGTCGACTTTGAGCAACGTCGTCGCCGAATGCAACGAGGGCGCACGAGCTGCCGCTCAGGAAGCGGAAATAGAAGCTTTAGCGAGGTGCTGACTGTTTTTTCTTCTGCTGCTAATTAATATAATTCTCTTCTTTGTTTTATGTAAAATGTGTTTCATCAAGTGTTTAATTATTTAATCGCACAGAAAATTGGAATATTCGTCGAAAGTTCGACCGATCGTGTTGAGAGGCAAGCATCTAGTTAGAAGCGGATCAGTCGTGCAGTTGTCAACGAAAACGGACACCGAGTACAAGCTAACGTTCGGAAAGAAGTTCAGTAAGACGCCGCTCTATCTGCTACTGCTGACTGATTATCTTCTAGTCACAAAACTGAAGTCCAAGTAAGACGTCTCATTTAACACAAACTTAATAACGCCAATTATTTTTTTTTATTTTTTATAAAACAGAATGATATATAAATTTTTCCAGGTCTTGTCTATACTTTTTCGGACCGATAAACTATGGTTATTCACAAATTCGTTTTAAAAGAAATAATCTTTGCAGTGCTCATGACGAGTGCTACACCGTCATAGACGCATGTAAGAGAAATCTTTTGGCCCTGGAATCAGCTTCCGAGGAATCGCCGTTTTCTGGACGGAACGCTATGATACTGACTCTCTTGGAGAACCATTCCGGCCGTCACGTGGAGTATGTTTTGACGTGCGAGAGTAACACGGAACGGGAACGATGGCTCGAGGCTGTCTCGCCGCCCAAGCGTGAATCGGTCGGCGAAACGCTCTATGAATCCTGGGACTGTCCGCAAGTAATGGCCAAGTATCAATATTCGCCAAATCAACCGGACGAATTGTCCTTGCAGCCAGGTAAAACAATTTTAAATATCTCTCGTGTAATAAAACAAAGTTAAAATCTCGGATTTGTGTATTTCTGTTGGAAGAATCTTGTTTCTTAAAAGTTTTAATGCCCTAGTACGGTTCGCTTTGTCTTTTTAACAAAATGTTTTGTGATGACAAAAAATCCAAAGTCTAACGGTTGCTAATTGTTTTGTTTCGCAGGAGACGTGATAAATGTATTGAGAAAGATGGCGGATGGTTGGTATCATGGCGAGAAGTTGTTGGACGGCGAGCAAGGATGGTTCCCGGCGAATCACACGAAGGAGGTGGCGTCGGAGCATGTGCGCGCACGGAATTTGAAACAACGACACCGCCTCCTGGCGCTCAGCAGTAGCGTGATACAACAGAGAAGAGCAAAGCAGAATCAGAGAGTTCATTAACGAGAGAGATTCGCACGATTTTGGGGAGCGCAAGTTGCTCGAACATTTGTGATCAAGATTTAAATTATTTATAGTTTACGGATTCGTGCAGTATTTTAATAGCCGATTAAAATTTATGTGCCAATGTATATATATAATATTATTCGTCGCCAAAGTAAGAAGAACAGAATTTTGCAAAAGTTCTTAACTGTAGCGCACAAAGAAACTAGAAAAAATTCACGCAAAAAGGTAAGAGTTTTTTATATATATATATTGTATATATATATATATTATATATATATATTGTATATATATATATTATATATATATATTTATATATATATATATTGTATATATATATATATATAAAACAAAAAGAGAAGAGATGTAACAAAAGTATGCGTCTGTTTATTACTTTTGTACAAATACAATATAAACATTATTTTATATATTTCCCTTTTCTTCATTCCTAAATATATTGACTTTAATATATGTTATATGAGAATGTCTGAAATTAAAAGCGAATGCGAGTAAACATGATCGAAAGCGAGAGATGTGGAAAATACGAGTCTCATGTGATGCGCAAGAGAGAGCGCGGTGCTCTCTGACTGATATACATATATATATATATAATATTAATATATAATAAAACAGGAAGTATATCTTAACACAGTATTCTTCAGAAGTATCGTTAAGAAATCTCTAGCGTGCACTTAATACTATGTTGCGATAATGTAACAAAATTCGATAAAGAACACAAAATCTCGTCGATAGGAATATTCTATTCGTTCTGTTTTTGCAAATTGAAATCACACGTTCCAATTTGTTGAACATAAATCTTTCTCCGTTTACACGTACACATCCGGGACTTCGTTTTTTCGATCGATAACCAATTTCAAAATCTCTTGTATATCGTATCGTATATACTCCCTGCATTCGGACGCAGTCTTCAGGAATCAATGTACAATTAAATTTTGTAAAACGGCGCAAGGACGCAAATCGTATCGATACGCAAAAAAATACATATCACACTTTTACAAGGTGCTATAATCGAAACGATTGCACGCGTGATGTGCAATTGCGCCGTTACATACTGATTTGCGTATGATAAATGGATTTATAACCGAAAGTAATAGCAATATGCAATTGTCTTATCACAAAAAACATTGTATCTCTCTTGGAGCGAGCAATCGGTCGTGATACACCAAATGTTAAATGCGTGTCTTGGAATGTCCGGATGGTTTCTCGTCGAACAGTTTCCTAACGAAGTACACCTGAACGGTGGTAGTCATCAGAATGAGGGCCAATTGCGCGATCGACCATATCTGTACGTAAGAATTATTGTCCAACAGCAGATTGAGATCTCTCGCTTCTCTGCTCCTACTCCAATGTTGAGTCTGTAGCATCTCGTTGATGTTCTTCTCCACGTTTATAATCGTATTCTGAAAGAGAACACAACACGTGAACCAAATTTACATATTCATTATTGACAATAGACAAAGAAACCTCCTTTCATGACGCACATACCGTAAAGTTCTCGACGGAGAGATTTAATTCTTCCAGTTCTTGCGTATACTTTTGCCATTGATCATATCTAACAGCAACGTAGCAACAATAAGATGTTTTCATCTAATGCATATTTTTGGTTTAATTTAACTTTGCAGATAATTTACCTGATCACTGTGATGTACAAGTTTACTAGTTTCGCGGCGAATCTCGAGAATTGATTATCAATGCACACGCTATAATAACCACCGTTCACGGATTGATCTTGGTAGTCGGCATTGGCGCGCCATTGATAAGGATGAACTATCGTTCCGTCTGGATTTCTCACCGCAAATCCTGCTTTCCCGTCTCCGCCACGCAAGACCTGAGATTAAAACGATGAACATTGATGATGTGAGCAGCGGAGAAAAAGTATCAATTGTATCCCTCATTCATTTTGTTTTTCTTTCTCAAAAGAATATCATATTGTATCTGTACGTATCGCGCATTCTATTATATTCAATTGTACTTTGTTATCTCACGCATTTTTATCTAACAATCTGTATAAAATTCTAATGTGATATCTCACTGGAGAAAGTAAGTCGCATTTTATGGCATACAGCCGAGAGAGAAATTTTATCAATTTCTAACTTTTTCCAATTTACATGAGAAACCTAAGACGTGCGCTTATTTCAGAAAACGAGCGAGCACGTGTCACGCGTTCGCTTTCCAGAACGCGACAGACGAATGAAATACGAGCGTGTGCGACGTGCGCGAACTGTCGGAGCGACCACATGTTCTCTCGCGGCCACGTGTCACGCCGAGCGTGTATACGCTTTTCATGAGACGCCGAACGTGATTTCGCGCAACCATATGGTCGATCGAACGTTTCATGTTTCGGATCATCGATCTCGCATCGATTTTCCGTCTGGATCGATCGTATTAAAATATCACGTTGCTCGCTGGATCAACCCGGCTGAGTAAAGTACCTGAAAACTGACGTAAAACGTAGCGCCCGGATTTACGTATTGAAAGTAGCAATCTTCCTTGCCGGCGTCGATGTGCACTTTGTAATCCATCGCTACCGCGGGTAGATTCTCGTAAGAGAAGCCATTGGCCTCAGGCACGACCTGGATCAGTGACAAGCCGAGTAGCGCGTAACCAAAGTGTACGAGGAGGAACATTGTGGCACGATGGGCATCACAACAATTGACGTCCACAGGCCACGCATCACTCCACAGACGGGGAAATTGTCGATCTGTTGACAGACTGTGGGTAGCTCCGCTCCTATCGGCTCCCGATTGAATCTCTAACTGTGTGATCGGATGGACTGCTAGTCGGTACTTTCGGTGTTGTAACGGGGATCAACAGCACCTCCGTTGTCCAAATAGCAGAAAGGTGAAACACAAAAACATTGTTGGCGGCTTCTTCAGATACTTGCTCCAAAACTAACTAAGTCTTGTCAAATGTCAACAGATGTTACACGACGAAATACGTTAAATTTCGCGCCACAACAGAAGGCTCGATTCCGGTTATTGAACAACGCAACAACGCGTGCGAAGCATATTGAAAGATAGGAAAAGTGGTGGGAACACCTGGCAGGAGATCCGTTATATAGTCAAAGAATTGAACTTTCTCTCTTTTTTCTTTCTCATACGTCATCATCTTATACTTTTTAAATACATCCAACAACCGCAGAGAGAAAGAAAGAAAGAAAAAGAGAGAAGATAAGAAAGTTCCTCTTCCCTGACAGATCCCGGATCCTGGTTCTTTAATTAGAAGATAAAAAACTTTAAAAGCGCGCAAACAATATTTTTCCAACGCTTTTTGTTGAGGAAAATTGATATCAAATCACTAAAATCAATTTATACAAAAATTGCATCATTGCAATATATCAGAGTAATACAAAATGACTAAACAGATTGTTCGATCATTAGTTATCGCAAATATTGATAACGATCTGAGTCCCCACTCTCTCGCGAGTGCGCCACAGCAAGCAGAAAGAGCGAAGATCAGTGTGTTGTTGCGATACACGCGGTGTACGCGCGTTTTCACAGAATCTCGGTGGATTTTCGCGCGCCACACGCGCATCGGACAACAGATCTCGGCGAATTTTCGCGCACGGAAGACACGCGAAGTGGATTTGCTCAGGTTCCGCTAAATGCATCCTCTATTATTGCCAAGTAAGTTGAAGCTCACCTGTTGTAATTCTACTATATCCCGTGATGTGTGTCACGCATCGCGACAGATCGATAAAGTAAAGAAAAAAGAGAGAAGAAAACAAAAAAAAAAAAGCGACGGAGAATTTAGAATTGTTTTTAGAAATGTTTTTTTTTAAATTTAAACTATTATATGATATTCGCGCTTGCGCAAACAAATTGCTCTTACAAATAAGGAAATTAACACGTCGAGTGAAAGAAAGGTCCAAATAAATCGACTGAGAAATAAAACTTTTATTGATTTTCCTGCGCTGTGTCAGTTGTGTTTTTCTTATCTCTGAACATTAAACATCGCGTTTCGGAAAATCCTAGTCTTTTATCATTTATGTTTTTTTTTTTAATATAATTAAGCTACGCAAGCATAGAGTAAAGTTCATATAGAACTCGTATATATATAAAAATTGCTCTGTGTCGATTCAGGTTCATGGCCAATCAACGGGATAATGAATCCCCTGGCGCAATTGAGAGCGCGATGCAATACGTGAATTATGTATTGTCGCAACTCGCGAAAATGACGGGTAACGTTATTTGTTGACCGCAATAGTCACGCGCGCGAGATCCAAGAGAGCGAAAGTAAAACAACACCGGAGTTTGCGTATATTTAGCAAAACGGAAATCGAATTTCACATCGGAAACGATCAAGCGATGTGATTTCCACCTTGCGTGACCGGTGTGTGCACGCAATCTCTATGTGTGTGTGTGACGCAGTCGCGGAACGGAACGATCGTCCTAAATATTTAGCTAAGCAAGCATGTTTCGCGATCGCAAACGGATGGCTTCGCCGATCGAGTGAAACAGGTTCCGCGTTTCGAGACATTCGCCCGAGAAAACGACAAAAGAGGGATTTCACCGCTTGTAAACCGAGAAAGAGAGAGAGAGAGAGAGAGAGAGAGAGAGAGAGAAAAAGAGTGTGTGTGTGTGTGATTATGATTAATTACGCGCGCGTACGTCCTTTTTATACAACGGTAATTATATCAAAGTATACGCGGATCCGCGTAGAAGAGATAGTACTAGAGTGCGTGTAAAGTCTAAGTGTGCGTCTTCGTGATATTTCGCAAACGCCGCTTGTGTTACACGAGACAAAATGATAACTATTTTTTCCTATGTCGAGTTACCAAGAAGGAGACTTAATGGTAATTGAGAAGAATAATTCGCGCCAACGGCACGTTTGCACTGTCTTGTATTATCTCGTTTGTTTTCCTTTTTTTGTTATTTATTTTTTTTTTTTATAGCATTCTTATCAGGTGGATACCTGTTTGATTTCTGCATTCTTATCGAGATTTGTTTGATTTCTCCGAATGTGCGTGATTTCAAAGAGAATTGTATTATGTAACGAACAATATGAGAAATCAGTGGAGTCATCACTTCGAAAAGACAGATCGATAGATTTATGCTAATTTGTTTTGTGTTCTGTTACTTGCAGAAAATGACGGTCGCCGTGTGCACGATAGGACTGCTACTGCTACTGAGAGAAGCTGCAGCGTGGTCTGTCGACATTGAAACTGATATAACTGTGCATATGAATCATGTGGTGTCAGTTCCGTTTGTCATACGTGACTATAATGACAATTTACCATCAAAAACAACGGTGACTTGTGTGGATACTGATATCGCAATGCCAAGTTTACATCTGCTGGTACAAAATGGAACGTCATCACACGGCGTTGTAAATGTTACCGGTGTCTTTTTGGGAAGGACAAAGTTATTATTTACTCTGGTAAAATCAAATGGAACGAGTAACGAATTATCTGTAATCAACATTAGTTCAAAAAGATAAAGATGTGTTTTTGATTTTTAGAATAACGACAGTCAAAGGGTTTCCCGTGTTAATGTTGTGCGAGAAGAACGCGTGATAGATATTGTATTCACTGCCAGTGTTGCAATACTCGTGTCTATCCTGTGTATCAACTTTGGCTGTGCCATGGATTGGAGTATATGTCGGAATACATTGAAGAGACCAGTTGGACCAGCCATAGGTTTCTTTTGTCAGTTTATGATAATGCCATTGGTAAGTATTTTGATCAACAATACGATATGTGTGCTATACAGCTGATAAATATATGATATATAGAGTTATCTGACACCTTGCCATTTACTTTGCCTTGACTCTTTTCAGTCTAATTTTCCGTGACCTTCAATAATATTATTTTCAGTTAAGTTATATCATTGGATATCTTATATTTTCCGATCGTCCTGACCTGCAAATAGGCATGTTCTTCACAGGAATAAGCCCGAGCGGAGGTGCTTCTAACATTTGGACCGTATTACTGGATGGCAATCTAAATCTCTCCATCACAATGACCACTATGTGTACCATTGCTGCGTTTGGTAAGAGAAAAGTATATTCAAAGAGAGAAAAAATATTCTTTTTTTGTACGTGTGCAATATCTTCTAAACTTATATTGAAATATTATCACACAGGAATGATGCCATTTTGGATCTTTACATTGGGCAGATATATTTTTGAACGAGGAGATCTTGTGGTCCCCTATCGCCAGATTGGCACCTTCCTCATTGGTCTCGTGATTCCACTAATTATAGGATATTTCATTCAAAAGAAGCTTCCAAGAATATCGCGGATATTGGTCCGAATAATGAAACCTTTCTCTGTAATTTTAATACTATTTATCGTTATATTTGCCATTGTCACCAATTTGTATCTTTTCAAATTGTTTTCATGGAAGGTGAGCTATTTGTATGAATCTGTAACGCGAAAGATGTGACAGAAATGAACTTGTATATGTGATGAGAGTGTGTGTTTATTTTTCTGTTGCGCAGATCATACTCGCAGGACTGGGCCTACCTTGGCTAGGATTTTTGTTTGGCCTTGTAATAGCGAAACTATGTAAACAATCTCAGGCTGACGTACGGGCAATAGCTATTGAAACTGGTGTTCAGAACACGGGCGTAGCTATCTTTTTGTTACGTTTTACATTAGAACCACCATCGGATGATTTAACTACTGGTGAGTAGTTATTGCGAATACATATATATATATATATAGATACTTTTAATAATTATCTAATAAAATATTTTTTTTTTTAGTGGTACCTGTATCTACCGCAATTATGACGCCAATACCATTGATGATTTTGTACATAATAAAGTTGATTTATCAATATAGACAGAAAACAAAGGCTGGAGCTAGATTGGATCATGTTCCGTCATTAGAAAAACTCAATAAAACTACCGATATTTCCACCATTACTCAAACAAACAACTAATTAACAATGCACAAGAATGATTGCGTCTTACGTTGCGTTTCTCAGTGATATATTTATAAATATCATATATGTATATATATGTATTGATGTTGAAAATGTATAGGCAATAAGAATGGATGGCTGTATAGATAAGTAATATCTATTGAACAATTGTTTGAGATCTGTATTTTTTTATGATATGTTGATACTTAATAGAGATATATATGTTATGTATTGTATACAACAGACATTTATTTATCTACAAAAATGGTGCAACAGGGTTGTGTTTTAAACAATATATTTTATATATATATATAAGTGTTTAAAAATGCATTTATAAATTATATTTTCGAAAGCTCCAAATATGATGGTATTTCATCTAAGTTTATCCTTAATTTTAAGTCGTTAAAATCACCAACTCCATTAAAAAAAAATCAAATTATAAATCCATTTTACTTGGTTACTCATTTATAAACAAAGTCCATTAAAAACTAATTTAAAAAAAATTGACGAGCAAATTCGAGAGTTGATTAAAGAGAGAAAGAGATCGCACGATAGTCTATTTTCATTATTAACTGAAGTCAGCTGCACTTTAGGTACATGTAAAAGGGTCAATTGTGTGTAACGAGAGATATAAAAATAAAACGTAAAACAACTTGAAAATGACAAAAGCGAGAACACACATTTGTGTTTAAGTTCTGACTTTTTTAACATATATGACATCGTAATTATTTCAACATGTTTGTTTGCTCACTTCTGTCATTTTTTTTTTTTTTCCGTCGTTTCACAATGCACGCGCGCACACACAATCAATCCCCTTCCCTTCTCTTTCTCAGCTTACGAAAACCAGTTTTGTCCGATGCGCGCGATGAGGAGGTTGGCCAACCTGCGTGAATTGTCGTTGCACGTCTCGCCGCCGACTTCAGTGCGTACCCGAATTCAGTTTACAACCAACTGACGAGAGCTCGGAATAGAGCAAATTTAGACGGGTGTGTGCGTGCGCGATTCAAACTTTTTGTGATATACGCGTCAGTGTGGACGCGAATGATGCGATTTGACCGCGCGAAGAACGAGCATTCAGGTTAGATTTCGTGGTGTGGCGACGGGGAGCGGCGTATCCACGAAAACGAAGTACATGAACGTGACGTCGTCGCGCGTATCCTCGCGAGCGAAAGAGAGACGAGAACGGACGAGGGATAGAGCATGCGACCGCGCCTCTACGACGTTACTCGGTGTGTCGATGAGAATGGGAAGTGCGCCGCCGTCGCTGCCGACGACGACGAGAGACGAAAGTGAGTTAGGGACAACGTCGTTGCAGTACGTCGCGCGGTGCTGCATCATCATCGCTTAGGAATGGTATCGCCGTCCAAGCATCAACACCAACAGCAATACAAACAGCCGTCGAGAGAGAACAGGATCGATCCACGACGATCGTCGCGTAAGTACGGTCAGGAGCGCGTAATTTTCACGTTGCATAATAACGCGTCGGGCCGGATCTGGCCGGCCGTTAATGGACATTGCTGCCATGGTAGTGATGTTTGCTATTAGTGCGAGTATAGAGCATTCTTTCTCTCTCTTTCTCTCTCTCTCTCTCTCTCTCTCTTTCTTTCTTCCCCTCTTCTCCCTCTTCTGCCTACACATGAGGAGGACCCCCGATCAAGTGATCACTTAGAGAGTACTTGGAATTTCTTCAAAGAGATTGGACTTTCTCAGTAACACACACAGACGCAAACAAATGTTAAGATGTCAAGGAATTTGTGCAAATGAAAATTTGTTTGTTTTTTTTTTTTCCTCCATTACTGAAGTATTCAGATTAATTTCTGTTTTTTTTTTTTTTCATTAGAATGTGCTCTGAGTGATTGCCACACAGTGCCTCTGTTACCATATGAGATGGGGGGTAGAAACAATGAGGATGATTCATGTGTGTGCTGTGTATGCTCTTGTCTTCATAACATGACTATAACTTAGTCTATCTTAAACGCTGTACCAATTTGTCTGTATCACATGATTTGTACAGTACAGTTGGTACAAGCAGTTATATACCAAGAAAATATATCTGCTCCCTTTGATAATCTAAGAAATATCCCATACAACTGCATCAGCTGCTTTGTGTGTGTGTGTATATATATATATATGTGTATATATTTTTGTGTTTACTTTTGTTCGAATATACAACAATAGAAAAACAACAACTCTGTCCACACGCAAACAAAATTTGTNAAAAAAAAAAAAAAAAAAAAAAAAAAAATGTAAGTGACAGAGTATGGAAATAAGAGTAAAAATTTCTTGTTGTAGATGTTCGTATACAAAAAGGCCTGAAACCTTTGGAAAAGAAGTCGTTCTATTTGGACTTAAAAAACCATGCCGTTGCGACCAAGCTAGAAACACACATCAGAGAATTGGGCGGAGTGAGTTGCATTTTACCATCTCTGCGTGTGAGGCGATGCTGCGTTTATAGACTAACCTGTAGCCGCGTTTCCCGCTTTCGTTTCTCCGCCGCTTATCGATTTGTCAGAGCGTTTTGGTGTGTATTTCGAGCGAGTGTTCGAGAGACCCCCTTCCCTCTCTTCCCCTTTCTCTCTCTCTCTCTCTCTCTTACTCACTTTCTCCATCTGTCTCTTTCTGTCTCCCTCCCCTCTGACCCGCGTTCGCCTCCTCTTTGTTCCACTCTTCCCGCCATTTTCGATCACTATGACTACGCTTCGACGTAACGCGCGCCTCGCTCTCTTCCTGCATCCCCCTCTCCCGGAGGGAGGGGGAGAGAGAGCAATGTAAAAAAATTCGAATCTCTGTCTCTCGCGATGATGCGCTCTCGAGCCGACCTCGTTGCCGGCGCGATACTACTGAGTACGCGCGCGATTATCGAACTGCCGGACCACGGGGACAAACTCGTTCCCGAAAAGTCCCGCGCGCACACACACACACACACACACACACACACACACACACACAGCCCCTCTCCCGCCGGGTCTCAAACGATTGGCGCTCTTCGACATTCTGACCTGTTTCAGATTCACTTTGCTCCCTGATTTTTTTTTAAATGTTTTAAATGAAAAATACCAATTTGTTCAAGTCACATTGGATTTTTTTCATCGTCAAGATATTCGAAGTAGATGCGCGAACGTGAAACAAAAAAGAGAAACACTTGTTTTATCATTGTGCAAAGTAATAAAATCAATCATCATGTCTGGATTTGACACTTTATTTAAAGAAAAGTGCGCACACAGAGACAAGACAACGTCAGAAGAAACGTCACACACGTTGCAATCGAGACTATTGGTTTTTCTACTTTTACTTCGCAAGTAGGTCAATGACACAATCAGCAGAGTTTGCAATAGGAAAAAAAAAACTTTATTTATGTTACATAAGTTATATACATTTGTTGTATTGTTTATTCTCTCGAGTATTTTATCTTCTACGAAACTAAATTTATCGTCGTTCAATTTAACGAACTGTTTTGTGTAAAGTCTGCTATCGTTACAAAGAACTTTCCCAGTTCTGTGAAACTTTATTTCTTTTTTTTTTTTCTTTTTTTTAATTGCGCTCGCTTCGGATATTCTTATCGTAATGTATTCCCTTCGAGAGTTTTATTTCTAATCTAGTGACGTTTACGGGACTAGATACCTTGCGGACGTGACCGAGCATTACGAGCGGAGGAAGCGAATTTCCTTGTGTCGCGGAACTCGCGTTTCGCGCGAGGCCGCCGCACGCGGTTACGTCGTTGCCGAGTCGCGCGCGCGGGCTACGCCCTAAATTCAGCCTCTCTCGGCGGCAGCGGCGGTGGCGGTGGCGGCAGCAACGACGACGACGACGACGAACAACGCGATGTCAAGCTCGTTGCGCGCACAATTACGCGTCCCCGCGTAGCGGCAGCGCGTTGAGACGGATGAACCCGGTCGAGCGATTTTTCTCTGTTGTCAAACAGTTCCCGCCGCTTTACTTCGGGCGCGCTCTCAGCGCCATCTTCAGGCAGGCGCGCGAATCTCGGTGTAATTTTTCGCAAAAACAAAAAAAGGAGCGACCACCGAAAGACCGCGCCAGAAAAATTCCGACCGGTCGTGAAAGACTTTTTTTTTTTTTTTTTACAAACATTCGCGAAACGAACGGCGTGCGATCGCTCGTTCGTTAGCCGGAATAGTAAAATTAAGCGCGCGCGCGCGTCGCGATTTTGACATCGTGATGTCATTGTCGTTAATATATCGCGGAGAGTTGAATCATCTTGGAAACGCGCTTCGAGAAGTTGAATGCGATTTCGAGAGGAAAAACATAAGACAAATACAAAAATTTAGCACACAGTGCGATCGAGGAGCGTAAATGAGCTTTCGCGTGCGTTATTCGAATATAATTTCAAATGGATTCAAGATTGCGTGCGCACAACGATGTGTGCGAAGTAACGAAAATCTCCCTTCGAGCAACAAAATTAACTTTCTGACAGTTCTCTTTTATAGCGAGCTCGATTCGTGTCGCGATTGAAGAAACGGCACGAGAGAATGAGTTCCCCGCGACGACGTGCGGAAGAAGAGCGTGAGACGCACAAGAGAGAAAGAGAGAGAGTCAACCTCGGCAACAGAGCCTATTAATAGAGAGAGAGAAGAGCAGCTGTCAAAATCGAAGTCGTCCGTCCATCCGTCCATTCATCATCTGTTGACAAACAAATCGTGAGAACCGGCGCGCGTCACGCCATCTGAAGAGGCGCGCGCGCAAAATTTCAACATATATATATATATATATATATATATGCGTGCGTGCGCGCAAAATTTCGAAACGCGCAGAGGAACGAATGAAACACCGAAAAATCGCGCGCGCAACGGTGGAAAGATGGTGGGCGTCGGGAGAAGGAATGCAAAAGCGAGAGAGACGGACGCGGGAATCGGCGCGACGCGTTCTCGGGCCGCACACGTCCTCGCGGCTGTCGACAACGAGAAGCGAACGCGCGCGCCGTCTCCAGGCCCCCGTGCCAAGCTGCTAACGGCAAATGGCCATTTTGTGCGTGACAGTTGTCCGCTGTGCGGAGCAACAGCAGCGAACTAGCGTAGAGGCGTTTTCTCTTCTTGGCCGTTTTCTCACCGTTCGTTCTCGCACGCGGCGTTTCGCCCGTACGAGCGTTTTGCTCGCGCGTTTTGCTCGTTGCGCACGTTGCTCCGACGTTGTTTCCGATCGCGCGCAACACGCGCGCCTTTGTGTGTTTCTCGACGTCGCGCGTCTTTTCGCCGCGATAATCGACTTATCTACTTATTGCAGCGGAGTCGGGCGTGTGTGTTTACCGCTGTGTGTTTGACAGTAGTAGGGATCGTTTGACGTGACGCGCGCGCGAGAGAGAGATAGAGACGTAGAAAGAGAGACGTACTGCGCGTTTCGATTTCCACGTCGTCGAATGTGCGCCGTTGTCAGAATCGTTGTAGCACACGCCGCCGGGCAACAGCCACCCCACGTGCCTCGCGCATTGGTTCCCCAAGGGAACACGGCGGGCGGCTGACGACGCTGCGTCGGTGTCGTATTATTAGAACCGACGCTATGCGACCGGCGAGCGACGGCGAGTGGCGGCGTCCGCTGCACGAAAAGCCGCGGCGGCTCGCCGGATTGCGTTCCTTTCTGTAACGGTCGACTCGTCGCTCGAGGAAGGCCGCGAAATTCACTTGACGTCAGCGTTAAAACCGTGATGTGAGCGTGTGTGCCCACAAGCCTCTAGACGTCGGGCCCCTTTGCACGCGCGCGCGCGCGCGTTCTTGTTTGTATACGTTTGTACCGCACGCGCGACGGTTTTTATTCGTTGCGCAAACGATAAACTTCTTCGAAAGTCCGGGGTCTGTCTCTCTGTTTGTCGGTGCGCGCTCGCACGCTCGTGCCCAAGGCGACAGCGGAAGAAACGCACGCATTCGTTCGACTTCGATAAAGCGGCCCCCCCAGTAAGAGAAGGTTCTTTGTTCCCGAGAAGCGATCCTGTGAGACCAACGGAATTTCGCTTGTGGAAAGAGTGTGCGTTTCCGAGAGTGTTAGTTGAATTAAATTGGCGCAGCATCGCACCTGTACATACGTTACACGTATTTTGCTTGTTTTTTTTTCTTTTTATCTATTGACAATTGTTCTTCACATTTGGTGTTTTCTGGTTTTCAGGCGATTGAAGTGTTTCTAGTACGCAGTGTGAGCATTGTGGTCAGCGACAGAGTAGATGAGACAGGTAACGCAAATCCTGGAAGACCTAGATGGACTTCTGGCGGCAGCGGGGGACCCCGCTCATTAAGAAGCATAGAAGTCCCAACGCCCACACCCACACCCCCAACGCCGTTGCTAAGTTCTGAATGCCCGTTGTCGAATTCTACCAATCTGCGGGGTCCAACCGCCCAAAGATCTGTGAGTACGAGAAGCAAAATTACACATACGTGCGTATTAAAAGCTGTTAATTGTGTCGAGAGATAAGATTAAGCCGGAAGTAACGGATTAATACTATGTTGTAGAGAAGATGATACGTATTACAAGCTTTTAACGTCGTCTTACGTATCTATTTTTTGTAGAAAACCAAAGATAAAATACTACTCCAATCTCTCAATAACAAAGAAATTTCCATAGAACGTAAAAGTGCGTTGTTAAATTTTGAAATTTACCTTTTATTTCGGTTTTCGCTACTTGAAATAGAAATCGCGGGTGGATGCAATGTTGGAACGTGCTCTGACACAACCACTACAGTGTTCCGTGGATCCACTAGATAACGCCCAAAGTTGGGGTATTCCTATTTGGACGACAGACAAGTTTCTGGATTGGCTTGAAAAGAAAATTTTCTACGCGTCTGTTTTAAGGGATAACTTGAAACAGCTGAAGCAAGCCAATCAGCACGGTACGAGGAAGGATTTGAGAATTAGAAGGTTGAGAGATCCATACGTCAAATTTGAATCTGTTCGCAGGTAACTACTTATTGCTGTGCGATACGCTCTTTTAATTTGACATAACGATGATGAAAAAAAAGTGTTTTTAATCTTCTAACACAACGATATGACGTTCGACTCAGAAATTATTATTATTATTTTTTTTTTTTAATTTCTACTTTCAGAACCACTAGACCTGTGTTCCTGGAATTATCGTCCTGGCCAACTCTTAATTTTGACGGTGATCCGGGCTCGTGTCCTTTCGACACAAGAAAGCAGGTAAAACTAGAAACCAAGTTGACTCATAAGGAGATCAAGGAGAATAAGGAAGACATACAATCTGTAAATAAGGCAGAGGTGTGTTATCTGACGTTATACATGTGTAACGTTGTGTTTTGTGAGAAGTATGAAAATGAACAATATAAATACATGTAATAAAATATTTTTACGTCAAGAGGTCATCATGGGCAATTTTTTTTCGCATGGGCAGGGTAAAGAAATGACTCGGAGATCCCGCACCACTGCTGCACGTGCTCGCAGAACGGAACAACTGGTCGCTGGTTACTGTGAAATTTGCCGTAAGCATTATGACGATGTATCGAAGCACGCGCAAAGTGAGCAGCATCTCAATTTTGTGGGCAACGACGACAATTTCTTGTCGTTGGACAGGCTGATCAATGCGGGTGCTAATGTCGAGGCGTTTTTAAAGCTGAATCGAACGACGGACATTGAGTAAGAATCTCTGATCTTGAAGTTTTATACTTTATTTGAGATTCTTCGTTTTTGCAAATTCAATTTTTATTGAGAGAAAATCGTCTTCTATTCCTAACACGTTAGTCTTATTATGTTTGTTCTTAGCACATATCTTCACTCGCATGTTATTTGCATTTTATGCAGTGTCCAATAATCTTGTTTGTTTGTACCAGGAAGAACTGTGATCTGTTCCCAAGTGGAGAAAAACAGCAGAATGCGTTATCAGATGAGAAGGTCGGCAAGAACGCTAAGAGTTTAAGTAATTTCAGTGTCGAAGAGATAAAAATGGTAAACGGTGCGCGCCGGAACTTGAATTTGAGATTAAGCTCGTCGCACAATCTCCGTGCTCGTGCGAAACACGAGAGCGGGCATCTTCTCAGATCGAAGGGCAGTCCGTGGCACGAGGTGGACAAGAGCGAAAAGTTGTACGACAAGCTCGAAGGTTTCACCATCAAGAAACGCGCGAAAGGCACCATCTGGATCGAGGAGGATGACCCGGACGAAAAGTATGCGGAGGACATCTTGAAAGAACCCAGTCAGGAGGATTATAAAATCAGGCCGTTCTCGAAGAACATTGAGGAGATTTACAACAACAAGCAAGACAATATCAACAGCACGCAGAGTAATTCGGATCCGCCAGTTTTGCATCCGGAGCTTGTACATAACAATACGCAAAATGGTTTTATAAAGTCGCGGCACGTATCGGAGGATTCGGATAATCTCAAGAATAGAGACGATGAGTGCAATGGCAACGGGAACGCGCGCGCTTTGGAATATTCGATAAAGGAGAACAGTGCGACCGATAATAACTTGACCGGGAGTTACAAGTCGTGCAAGGATAACACGTTGCAGAAGGATTGCGTGTTGCAGGCGGAAAAGATTACGATAGATTGTGGAAAACTTTCGGATAATACGAACGAGATTGTTTGCAACGGGCATAGCGATAAGAACGAACAAAATGATGCTTCGAAAGCATCGCAGGGAATCAACAATCGACAGTTGAAACTATCCAGACATCCTCGAATAAATCGGAGAGGCGGCAGAAATATTAGAGGTAGGTGTTATCGACATCGACTATCGGTGGAGGAACGTTTGATTGAGGATAATCGCGCCTATTACAAGGTGGAAGTGTTGGGCAATAAGCTGCGATCGAGCGCGGTGGCGAGCGGCAATACGCAGCAGGCAACGTCGAAAGAGGACGACGGCGAGGAGAAGAAGGAAGCGCCGTCCAGCGAAAAGCCGGTGGTGGTGCGATTTAAGCGCGTAAGAAAGTCGGAGCTGTCGCTGCTCAGTGACGAAGCGGAATCTTTCATGTTTGGCGAGCCGAGACGGGACGACTCTAGCGAGAGAACTAGCGACAGCGAGCAGAGCAGTGTACTACCTAGAGATACAGAGAGCAGCGAGGTCAACGAAAATGCCAATTTGACCGTGTTGTTGAGCTCGCCGTTAAACTCGAGCCCCGTGAAACAGGAGATGATCGAGGAGGATTCGCAGGACTCCGTGCAGAGAGCGAGAAAAAGAAGACGCACGCAAGCCGAAGCGTTCATCAAGGATAACACCGATTACTACAAGTTCGAGACGCCGGGAAGCAGATTGAGGTATCAGGCCCCGATCACTGGTATCAAGGATGACGAGAAACACGCGGCGATGAAGAGATCGTCACAGGAAACGAAGGAGTCCGGACCGCCGCAGCAAAACGACACACCCGCCGAGATTTATCCGTCCAAACCGTCGGCGGAGATCGAGAAAATGCAATTCTCCTTCGAGGTGATACCCAAGTCCGAGCCGTGGTATCAAACGTATCAGCGACAGGACACGGGCACCGAGTTCTGGCACTGTTTCAGCGAGTGGGACTCGATGAAACCGTTTCTTCTGCCGTACGAGATCGAGAATTTTCAGGAAACATTATTACGGGCGCAGAACAGAGTCGAGGGGATCAGAAAGAGGGGTCGCGGACGGGGTATCGGATGCGTGGGACGTTCGCCGAGGAAGAGTCCGCGCTGCCACGCGTCCACACTGGCCATCATGTCCACGATTATTCGTAAGAGAGAGCAACAACAATCGTCTAATCTGTGCGCGATTGAGGATTCAGCGGTTCTCGCATCGCGTGTCACGAACACGCCCAAAATGGAACAAAAGCAAGATATAAAGTCGGATGTGGATGACGATCTGAAAGAAATGGCAAAGACGATTGATGAAATGTTAAGTACAAAAATGTCGGAACTGGACGACTCGTTCGAGCCCGATTTGGACTTGACGCAGATCGACAGCTTCTGCGGAACGAGCTTGACGAAGGGTCCGCCGCCAAATCTGTTGGAGTTGCTCGACAATTGTCAGGACGTGACGACCAATTGTCTGGAGAACAATTCGTCATGCGCCAGTTCGGAGTGCGGTGAAGCGACCGTGGACATACCGCTGAAGCGACGGAAACGAAGAAAAAATCGAACCGGATGGCCGATCGGTAACAAGATAAAGAAGAAAGTACAAATAAACAATAAAACCTTGACGGACTGCAATCGAGATTCGTTACCGGGGAAAAGGATGATGTGTTCTAATAGCAGTTTTGCCGAACAACGCACGTTGAACGACACATCTCAGAGACTGTCGGAAGGAACGGATACTTACGCGGCGACAAAATCGAGCACCAATATCACGTTGTCGACCGTCGCGGAAAGGTTAAACAATGAACAAAAGAAGGATGTCGAAGCTTTGACGGAAACTTGTACGTCTCACAAACCGTATCACGAGACGCTCGCAAAGAGGGACAAGAATGTATTAGAAATAAACGATGAGAAAACAATAGGTTACGTGGAGTCGTCAATCTCGGAGAGCACGTGCGACGACTCGACGAAGAAGAATCATCTCTCGAACAAGGACTATTCGTGTAGGAAAGATCTATCCGAGATCGAGGAGATTACGGAAAACGATTCGTGCAACAATGAAAATCACGAGAACCGAAAGAGCAGTCCACCCTTGGGCAGGAAAGATGTCGTGAATGCGATCACCGAGAGGAACAACGTAGTCGCTAAGTCGTTACCCGTTCGGAAGCAACGACAGCGCGAGCACGTTGCCGCCGCGGTCGACAGCTGCGAGTCGCGAGACACGGAAATTGAGAATCAAGACAATCTGCAGTTACAGTGCAGAAAGGACGTGGAGTCCGATATAGTTCCTAAAAAACACCACAACTCCAATTCCGAGCTGTCGTCGACGAAGCGTCAGCTGCGTGGCGGCAACTGCGAGGAGAACACGTCCGGCACGGACGAGTTGATGAAGCGCCATCGTATTGTGTTCGCCGCGACGAAGCGCGGTCGGATAGGCTCGCGAAGACGCATCTACTCCAGGAAACGTCAGTCGAGAACGGCCGTAGCGCGCAACAACCTGTCGTCGTCCGATCACGCGGTAGTGTACGACGACGAGAACTGTAAAAAGGACACTTACCTAAACATTACGTCGTGTAATAATAAGAAGCAGTCGTTGCCGGGTTCCGAGGTGCGCGGAAGTGTGAAGCGCAAGAGCGAGGCTATATCGTCGTCGGACAATATCCAGGAACCGTCCGATCCAACGGTGGATCAGTGCGCGTTGACGGAACGCGTTAGTCCGTCGGTGCTGTCGTCGGCCGACCTCGAGCAGCGTCGTTCGAGCATCGAGTTCCAGCCGGTCGTGCGAATGATGAAACTGGACGATCAGGTGGACATGGATCACAGTATTTTGTCGTCGGTCTCGGTGGCGAGCAACCGACGGCTGAGAAGTTCCGGCGGTTCGCCGCGCTCAAATTCCAAACCGCCGAAGAAACGTGTGAAGTCCGGTCGCGGTCACTTCAGACGGTGGCTGAAGAATAGCTGAAGACCCGGAGGACGGAAACAGAAAAATCAGAGGACTATACTTTCACTTAGATTTCGATGACGGTGACCGATGGTATCATTGTCATATTGTACATTGTGTATAAAAATTTATTTGTGTACGTATAGAATAGTATATTTAACATCGCATCATTATTATTGTATTCTCTCTGTCTTTCGCTCCTTAGTGACGACGATTCTATTTGGTGTGACATTCTCTTTCAGATGGTTAGTTTTTAACGCTCTCCATTCTTTCCTCCTCAACTCTCTGTCCGGTGCATATCGTTGTATACATTCTTCAGATGCGGTCGTTGTGTTCTCGGAAACCGAACAATCTTTTCTATGTAGATTTTTAATTATTGTTCCTTTTTTTTTGTTTTTTTTTTTATATCTCCTTTTACGTTTCGTTAGCCCGCGAACGAAGTCGTCCAACATTCTTGGAAAAAAAAAACAGCTGTTTTTATTTCAATTGTAATGAGAGATTTCTTTTTTTTTTTTTTTTAGAGTGTATTAGTTCTCTAGAGTACGCAAGACTGCATACAGCTTTATAACAGTGTAATAACACAACACACACGAATGCATTTTCGTTATGCTGCGTATTGAAGATATAGTGTCTATATTTTTGACTTCTTCACACACACATACAAACGTACATACACACGTACATTACAAACACATTATATCTGAATATTTTATTTCAAACAAAAGTGCTGTAAGTCGCTCATGAGTTCAGGAAGAGAAATTATTATTAAAGATACAAATTTTCCATTAAACGACAATTTTTATTGCACCTCTGTGTAACTGTAACTACTTGCCAACAGGTCCGCATTGATTGACTCCGGATTTGAATCAACTCTGGATTTTTCCGGTTCCTATAAAATTATTTACAATGCCACTTAGCTAGAAAGAAAAAAAAACGTTTGAGTAAACAAACTGATAACAAAAAAGGATAATTGACGCAATCAGATAATTTAAGTAAAGTTCCTAAAAACTGAGAGATAGGAATCTTTTCATCTTCTGAAAGAGAGAGAGAAGCAAGTAAGTTGAAATTTTCAGTGATCGATCATAACAACTATTTTTTATTCAATCTCCGACTTGTAAATGTGTTAGACAATAGAAGTTTTCGCGGGATCTCGTTTATTTTCAACGTTGAAATTTTGTTTGTACAATTTGCAGCGCGCGTTTTAAGTCAAACCTTCGCGTTCCCGAAAGGCTTTCTTCATCTCATTCAGTTTTCTTCTTTTGTAGTCTTTGTGGGCGCTCCGTTTTTCCTCAAGAGCACGTATCTGAGCCTCAATGGAACGCTCCTTGTTCAACAAGTTGTCCAACTTCGTGATCATGATCTCGCGCGCACGTTTTTGATTGTCCCACACGCTCCTCGTTTCGTGACACTTGACGACGATTCCTGTGGGTTTGTGCGTTAACACCACCGCGTTGTTGGTCTTGTTCGTCGCTTGGCCACCCGGACCGCTGCCCCTGACGAACTGCTCCTCGAGATCGGCCTCGTTCAGTTTAGGCACGTTTGAGTAATCCAGATGACGCTTGTACGATTTCCCGCGTGCGATTTGCGCATTTTCGCGACCGGTCGCAACACTCAACGTGAGAAACTCATTTTGGCCGATTGTCCTGTTGTGCGTCCTGAGGTACATTGACAAAAATCTCGCTAACATGGTTTCACACACTTGTTTTTTTTGTTACAAAAAGAATCGCACCTTACACCATTCTTTTGGCTTCCAAGAGTTTCATACCCTTCTGTAAAACGAGAAGAAAATTTGAAATTATCAGAAAATGTTTGAACTTTCGTTTCGACTTCGATATAAATTTCATCTAGTATTTAGTCTGTTATATTAAAAGTGTTAATAAAAAATTATGTTTTTATTGCACTGTGTTTGTTACAGGAATGCTTATAGGTTAGAAACAGAGAGAGAGAGAGAGAGAGGTTATAAACGAATTTGCGCTCGAATTATTGAAAATAACGCGCGATTACCTTCACGTAATGGTCTATCGCCGTCTCGTCGGACAAATCCTTCTTGTCTTTGAAGGCCGTTCGTATTCTGCAACGGAAGTATTTCTTATCCGTGAACTTCAAGGTGTCTCCGTATCTCAGGATGTCCTTGTACAGTTTCAGAACGATCTGTCGGCTCATCTTGCGTTACATTCGCAGAAGTGGAGAAAACAACAGTGGAGATCTGCCGATAAGTTTTTATTTATTACGTTTCGTCGTCAAAAATCGACGCGATTATTTCCGCAAATCTCGGAAAATGTGCGAAAATATCCGAGAGAACGCCGTCTGCTTCGTGCGCGCGAACACCAATCAGACGACGAGAAGGTACGGCGCGCGTTCCACATTCGCGAAACGCGATCACACGGATCTCGCGCATGCGCGACACCACGCGCGCTTTGTGGCGCCATTGTTTTTTTTTTTTTTTTTTTATCTTCTTGCGGAAAGAGTGTTTTCAGTGATCGAAACGCGTATGTAAGTACGTGAGTATATTCCGATTGTATCGACGGTTTTGAGTAGTTTCGAGTAGCGAAATCTCGATATCTCCTTTCTCCTTCTCGTCGATGACAGAAACGACGACTTAATTTCGACACTTTTGCTGAAAAAAAACGACAAGTGTCAGAGATCGAACGGGTGAACCCGTCGCCGTTCGGACCGTCGCGTTTTCTCGGCGAGGAACACATTACGTTTACATTTTGCTGGAAAAAAAAAGTGTATTTTCGCTAGAGAGAGAGAAAGAGAGAAACAAACCCGAACAAGAAAAATAAGCAACGGCGCAAGATGATCGCGCGCACATCACGTCGCACGAGAGTGTCATTTAGACGGATATCGTCGTCGGCGGGTAGCGCGACGCGCGGACGATTAAATAACGCAGCTGGTCAAGCTAATGAAGCGTAGCGAAGACAAGGTGAGTTTGTATAAGTGCGTTTCTATTTTTAGATAATGCCATATTGCGTTACACGTTTCATAACCACTGGTGATACACCGTGCCGCTCAATCGAGCGAACTGTATATGTAATAACGCGCGGAATAGCACGCCAGAATTGCGTTCGTTTTACGATAACAAATGCGGACAAGATGGATAACAAATGAAATGTTTGCAAAACAGCGCGGGAGTGTTGTTAGAAAATTACGCGTTATTGTTGTATCGCGGAAAAAAACATGTTTTATCGCGTCTCTCTGTCCGGGTTCGCGCGAGTCCTTATATTGAAAAATAAACTGTGTGTGTGTGTGTACGACAAACATAATTACGTAATTTTTATGTAATATTTAGAGTATACGTGCATAATAAGTTTTTTCTATTTCTTTTTCTCTACTTTTATATATTATTTAGATTTTAGTATGTTTAAATTAATAATATTCCAACATTTATATTCTCAATTTTAATTTTTAATTAAATCACGCACACGCGCGGCTTTTCTATTTAAATCGTTCGCGCGAGTGTCGTCGCAAAATTAAACATCAAAATCGAGGAAGAGAAATTACATTCTCAATGAAATAGATAAATTGGACGTTTAAATTAAATTATTGCTTTATCTTTGCCTCAATCAGTTTTGGTTTAAACACATACAATTATCTTTCTCTGCGACGGAAGAACCCACACAGTTCGATTGATCGCCATTAATCAATCTCGTCGAGTCACGTCCTTTCTTTTCTGCGCGTATATGCGCTAGATATCTCTACGTTATTTATTACACACTTATTACCACAGACCTAGATTCACGGACGCGAAAACATACGATCGGCACGAACTTGACTTTGATGTAATTCCGCGTCTGCCCCCCCCCGCTGTTTTTGGCAGACACGCGTCGCACAGTGCACGCGCGCATAAATTAACACTCTTTTCTCTCTCCCGTCTCTCGTAAATGATTAATTAATTAATTAATACGGAGAGCGCTCTTCAATTATTCACGAGCGCTGAATTACAAATTTGTTTTTTGTCACGCGAATTAAACGACTGACATTACGAAGTTCTTTTTTAGTTTTTTTTTTTTTTATCAATCGATTAATATAACAAAGTTTCCATTAGTCGTTTCTCTAGTTTTTCTCTAGTTTTTTGTTTTTGTCTCGCGTATGAAGATAATAATCGAATATTACGCATAACGTTTCAGCACAACAACGTGAAACGTGGAATAATCCTCGTTACATGATTCACGATGTGTGTGTGTGTATATATATACACATATATATATATATCTCTGATGAATCAATTGGCTCCGGCGTTGTATGTGAGATATGATGCGACGGAAAGCCGAAATAACTCGAAGCACAGCAACCGGGTCCCACTGTGGGCTAGGATAATAATATGAATGAAATACTGGCAGAACCGGTTGGTTGAGTAAGAGAAGCTTGGTGTGTTCCTCGAAGCCAGCTCACATCCTTCTCCCCCGCCACTCCGCGCGCGCGCGTTTTCTTGGCATTCTTATATCTCTTTTCTCAAAATTAGACGTACAAGCCTGTACAGGCGTCTCTCACCTCGCATGAATGAATAGAGAAAGAGCGTCTTGCGCATCCGCAGCGATATATGTAATGTAATATTGGATATTCAATTAATATTAGATATTACATTTAATTAACAGTAAATAAATCTAATGTTAGACGTGTAATTTTCTATAAATGTGATCGTAAAATTTCAAAAACTGCCGATACATCTCCGAGCGGAGAACACGTCAGCTGTTTCTTTTTTTTTTTTTTTTTGCTACTAATCGAAACGGTAAGAACAAACCGTATTTTAGACAGACATGTGATTCTACGTCTCTCGGTCTACTCGTGGGCGGAAACGGGAGAAGTTTGACTTAATCATTTGTATATTTACATGACGGCGATTATTATGACGCGCCGGTAGTGCCGGGACCTTCCTCAGATCAAGCTCCGCGGCTGTGATTCGTAAAACACACATTATCGGTCTGGCCTGCGAGTTATATATGTATAGGTATACGCGAAAGTCTCTTCGACTATTATTAATCGGAAGTGTTGTGCCAAGTTGTCAAAATAAAATCCACTCGGATGCGCACCCCTCCTCTTGCTCTGTCCGTTTTATTCATTCTCGCGAATATATATATATATATATATATAAATGTATACGCGAAAGGCCTCTTCAAGTTCACCGTGTGCGTGTGAGAATCAAGTGCGTAATTCGAAAATTTATCATCGCCGCCTTTGAAAGTTAAATTTAGACGGACGTGATTTTGATTTTTTTTAAATTTTTTTATTACCGTTTGAGTTTTTTTTTTATTTATTTTGAGAAACTATTTTAAGTGACGGCCTAAGGAGCAGACTCGGAGCGGGACGGGAGGGAGGGACGGGCCGTCTCAGCGTCAAAATGTGCATCGGGGATATGAGCTTCGACGTTTTGTGAGAGCGTATTTTTATCGCGGCCACACGACCATATGGCCATGTTACTGAAAGTGCGAGGCTATTTCCGAGCGGGATTCACTATTCTGAGAGCTCGACGTAAGCTTCTCCAGATTCGTGATTTGCGAGGGGGGGGCCCAGAGGAGACGGTGGGGAGTTGGGGCAAGCAGCGCGCAACGATGTTTGGCAGCATGCGCAAAATGCCATGCGATTTCGCAAATCCGAGCGCGCGCGTACGTACATATACCCTTAGATAACGATAGAATCCGTTCGGCGGACACACAAGTCTTCCCGCGTCTCCCGTTGTATGTGTGTGTGTGACGTCAATGCGGAGGTTTCATTCAAAAGCAGATTAGCGCTTCCGTCCGCGTATATTTTGCACATACCTCGGAGTATATTTGTCCACTCATCGCATTAATGGGAGGAGAGTGGTTGCTCACTACGGAAGAAATATATTTCTCATGCGTATATAACTTGCTCGCGCAATTCACACGTGTACATTCATAAATATTTACACGTACATATATACGTAAAGACATGGACAAAAATAGACTTTTAATACATGTGGAGCGACATTATCCGGGAATGTGTGTGTGTGTGTGCGCGCGCGTGTTTGATTTTGTGTATTTTATTATACGCACGCAAAATATTCGATACGCACAACTGATGTGTGAAAGACATTACACGAGACTTATCTAATTGTTATTGTGACTAATATATTTTTCTTAATTAACACTTGTGCTTGGGCACGTACGCGATCTGTCGGCTCCTCATGTACGACCAAGTGTAGCGCGTGTAGTGAGTGACCGAGACCAACAATATGATGAGAATTCCCATGGCTCTTATGAACATCCGTTTGCGCTCGTCGTGATTTTGCGATGACGTCCACGATAAAAACGAGACCAAATCTTTCGCCATTTGCGATGTCGTCGACGGAGTACAGTCGTCGTACTCCACCATTCCGTCGGACAGCATCTGAAAGATATGTAATTTCGTGTCACGCGAGTACGTATAATATTGCGAATCGTGGAAACGCACACGCGCATTGTTTACCTGTCCCATTCCGACCACGTTTCCGGGAAAATAAGCATTAAAAGATTGATGATCGGCTAAATATACACCCGCCGGCGGATCCATCCATCCAGTCAGAAAGGAGAATAGGTAATTTCTGCCGTTCCTCCTCGCGAAAATTATGTAAGTCAGATCCGGCGGATACGCGCCGAAATTAAGCGCTCGGGCAGCTTCCTCGTTCGCTTGGGGTGGCGGCACCAAATCCGACAGTCTTCCAGGTCTCGTGTAGTAATTTCCCTGTTCGTCGGGCCCATCTTCAACCTGTGCGGAAATATAAGTGATAATAATAAAATATTAAATATATTTAGAATCTCTTTAATAAATCTCTCTTCTCTTTATCGGAACTACAAACCCATACAGAAGCACGTTTAAATCAACGAACGGATGCGCGAATTACGCGCAAATCGAGAAACTTACATCGAACTCGGCCGCGATAGCCTTGGCTTCGTCCATCGTGTGCGACACGTCCACCAAATCCATGAAGCGCAAGTAGCGAAGACTGTGGCAGGAATAACAGGCGGTTCTGTACACCTGCCACCCCCGTCTCACGGCCGTGTGATCCAGGGATGTCATGTAACCCTCGAAGTCCCACGGATAGCTGGGCAACTTCGCGTTCGTGAGCATAGCCTGTACCGGTCGGCTCAGAAGATACGAAACAATCCCGCACACGGCGCTCGTACCAATTAAAAAAAGACTCGTCCCGTAACGCAGAATCTTTGGTCGACTGCGTTTCCGCGCGACGCACCACGTGTAAACCCCGCCCGATGATTGCTGCCGATAAAACTCGCGTCTCGAACGCCGCGATAAGATAATTCTCGTGGTGGTTTCGAAAAACGAAGCCATGTTTCTTTTACAAAACGACTGTCTCGAAAACAAAAAAGAAAAAAAAAACAATCGACGATATCGCGCGAGAGATGTACCTCGGGCGAACAAAATTTTTAGAATTTTTATAGCGTTTTCGAGTTGGTTGAGTCCGATAGAATGTCGTCAATTTGATCAATTGTATCGCTTGATTTGCCAAATTAAAGCAATTAATCGCTCCTCGGGAACGATTCTATTTTCGTGCCGAAAAATCCTATTAGATCCGAATATAAAGACACATCGGTTTCTCACCAGGAGCGAAAGAGAAAAGGACGTACAAAAATAGACAAGCGCGATCGATCTAGACGAATTTTCGAATAAAACCATTTTTTTTTTTGCGTCAACCACGTTCCAGGATTTTCCCTCGAACGTCGGCTGAATCTTAATAAAAATTGGATCGATTGACACCGGGAGAAGAAAAAAAAGAAAGAGAGAGGGATGAGAGACGGGAATGGATGCGCTCGCGTCGTATTATCGTGCAATTACGTTACACAACGTTATTACATAACGACATTTTATAATAAAGGCACAAGCCGACTGTATTTCCGCGCCGCGGTATAAATAAACTACTCGGTTATGCTTGGCATTATGCATGCGTATTGGCGAGCGGTTACATCGACTAAATGTACGCAAGTGTGCGCGCGTGTACCTGTGTGTGTTATGTATGCGTGTGTGCAAAAGTACAATTCGAGAGCGCATCCTGTTGTGACACGAATAATCGCCAGAGATATATATATATATATCTCTCTTTCTGTTTCTCTCCGCGCATACATACATGCGCATTTATTGTGAGGATAGATTTAGGCTGCCGCCGTTTTATGACTGGTTGCCGCGCGTTAACGCTCTTAACGTTCTTGAAGCTATTTCTCAGCAGCGTCATTCCTGTGCGCGTCTCTCTTTGCATCGTATTACACACGTACCTATATATTCCGAATTTTCCTCGCGATATTCACGCGCCCGTTTATCGCGACAATTCGAATTTTCATTTAAATATTTTTGAGTATTTATTTAATTAAAGATAAAATATTTTAATTTTTGTCGCGTGCGCGCGTATAACGGGTCATCAAGTATGAAAGATGCGACAAATATGTGTTTTTTATACTTAATGATCCGTTACATAAATAAATACACACATTATTGTAGGAAGAGCTAGGAAAGGGTGCATAATCAATTGCGTAGTCGGTACAATTGGATAGTTACGATCGTACACAAGACCCCGGTAACAGTTAAGTACTTCTTGAATTTACGAGCGTATATATGAGACTACGGACGGCAAAGTATTTGTTAACACAATAAAGAAGAAAATCTATATTTTTACACGAGCATAGATAACCGAAGACAATTAAAGCTTGAAATTTTAACGTTTCGCGAAGCATCACGACAGAGAAAAAAAAAACAGTATTATGTGTGCTGCGCAAAACCGCAACGCACACACGTCGTACATACACAATATATCACAGAATAGCTTCCATTCTATAGATTCACGCGGTAGAAAAAGCCGGCGGATGTACGGCGGCGTTGAAATACATTACTGAGCCAGAAGGGAGGAAATTAAATTTATCGTAAGGATTACTCTTGTGCATATACTCTCTCCCTCTCTTTCTTTTTTTCTCTCTCTCTCTCTCTCTCTCTCTCTCTCTCTCTCTCTGTATATTTCCTTCTCTCTCGTGTTCCATTGCGGTTTTATTTGTCGCGCCGAAATTAGGCAGGCTCGATGTATAATTAATCCGTCACAGTCGTTCCTTTTCAGAAACGACGATTGCGGCTGATTGAAAATCAATGTCCAACCGAATCTTCAACCGCGGGGCTATTTCACGACGGCTGTGTGTGATCGTTTATTTTTAAGATTTAAACGTGAAACCGACGCGAAGGGAAGGAAAGAGATGCGGTTTGGAAACCGTGCCATTTGCATTATTTACCCCCTCCCTCCCCCTCGCCCCTTCCTCACCCCGGAGGATATAGATAGTAATAGCGTCCGTGTGGCGCGGCGGTCAATATACATCATTGAATAATTTACATAGCAGTCGCTATCTCGCCACTTATTTTCGTGTGTCGACGTGAAGAAAGAAAATTATTGTGTATTGTATGTGTATATATATATATATATACATATATATAGTATGTATATAATATTTAATATATTATATATATATATATACACACACATACCGTGCACAGGGGGAACGTAAAAATCGCACAATCGGGGATTGCGAGCGTGTTCGATTAATTGTGGCTCGTCACCGGCTAATTGTTTCCGACGATCGGTATTTAATTCGGTTCGACACAGAGAAGCGACGAAAACGCGATAACAGAGTATTTTTCATATCGGACGGGATGAAGGGAACACGATGGCGAAATTATCGCGACATCTCGAGACCGAGCGCGATTCATTATTTAACGCATGCTGAAGCGGTGCAGTGTCGAGCGACTTCGCGAGCTTTAATTTTGTTCACACATACACACACACACACACATCCCTCATCGTCGGGGGATTTCAATGATTAGTTCGCCGATCGAGTTTCGCCGCCTTTTCCCCGCCGCGCGGCTCGTGTCCTTCTCTCTCACACGCGGTTTTCTTTGTTACGCGACTAACAGAGCAGAGGCCTCTATACTTGTATTATTTCAAGCCGTCGTCGTCTCAACAGACGAGCCATAATTTTCGAACAGCTGGAATAGAACTGGCTTCGTCGCGCTCGTATCGCGTTCATTCGTCGCAGTCATTCTATCATTCGTGAGAGAGAGAGAGAGATAGAGATAGAGGTAGTAGAGATAGATTACAAATACATTCGGCATAATAATAACGATCCTTGTGCCGGTACTCGTCTAATAATAGAGACAGAATAGAGCGTCGATCGATATCGCGAGCCGAAGACGATATCTTATGCCACTCCCTTCGTCTTCTCGTCATTTTCCACCTGTCTTTCTACTAGCTGCGCGTGCAAGTACACTCTCAGCACGTTGTTGTTGGCGTCGTATCTAAATGCGCGTGCAATTTACGATGAACTTGCAGGCACGATCATGTATTTCTTTTAAAAAAACGCGGCATTGTTGAGAGAGATCTTCCGTTCCAATCTCGGATTATCTTGTTAGTCGTTCTCGCAGCACTGCTGCTTCTTGTCCAAAGCAGCTTCTCGAGAATACACGCGAGAGAGAATATAATTCTGTTTTATATGCACATATAATTTTTCGAGAGGAATATTCGAGACGCTCGTTGCAATTTAAAGAAAAACATTGATAAAACAATTATGATTGCTAATTAATTATTATGAGAGTAATAATTTTTATATATATATATATATATATATATATATATATATTATGTGTATAATAATTTTTTATTAATTTGTTCTTCAACATGCTCTTCAACGAGCGTTTCAAATAATACTTTACCGAGAAATTCTCTCTCTCTCGTCTTAAAGCCATAGAATTGTATTGAAGATCGCAGAGAACATTCTCCACAAGAACAGCGTAGGGTTTCCCTTTTACTTTAACCCTTACGATACCACATAGTTGAATACGTCATTGCGCCGCGACGCTACGAGGAGGGTTAAATAAAGCGAAGCCGGATTCTCGATTTCCGTTTCGCTTGCGAAACGCATTGTCGATTTTGTTGATCTTCTACATGTACATATATATATATATATATGTGTGTATGTAACGCACCCGCCGCAATGTCGATGGTGCAATTTATCGGTTCTTATTGGAGTCCCTCGCGCGTGTTGGCAGCTCGTATATTTAGCGCGGCTATAACGATCGAACGGCAAGACAAAGTCAGCTGGCCGCCTAGGAAAAGCGCGTGCTCGTATGCAAGCGACGTGTAACGCGTGCACAGGTAGTCCATGCAGGAAACAAACGTGCGCCCCTCTCTCGTTCACGTGTTCGCGCTCATGCAGACGTTGCGCCGTTGCAGTACGAACCTTTCACGAAGGCGAGCGAAAGAAGAGAAAGAAAACGAGAAAGAAGCGGAAGAGTGGGAAAAGGAGAAAAGGAAAACACATAACAAAGTGACGTTTTACGTCGAGGTGACGCAACGCGGTGCTGGTTTTATTAATCGGGTTTCCGAAAGAGGAGAGCGCGGAAAGAGAAGAGCGCGTTTGTCGCACAGCGAAACGATTTGTGCGGATTAGTGCGGACGCGCGCGTTCAGCAAAGTTGACGCGCGAAAAAAATCTCACGGGGCGCACGTGTTTCACGACGGGAGAAATCAATTTTTCTTACGGATTAGATTTATAATCCTCCTACTCGAGTTCTCGCGAAGAAAAATGAAAAACAAAAAAAAAAAAAAAAAGTAAAAAGTAGTAACTAATTAATAGAACATTATTCACAAATTCTTAGCCAAGTCACGCGAATGATGAACGGAGACTCTGCGGCGCGTTAGGAGGGTGTGGGTGTTGCGGGATCTCTCTGCGATCAATTCGTGTGTATCATCGTTATACAAAATGAAGATTTAATTAATCTTGCGCGCGCGCGCAAAGCCGCGCGACGGAAAAATATCCTCCACAACTCTCACGGGCTCAAGTACGTGCTAAATGCGGACTAATTGGGGGGGTGAGGTGTGCCACTCATAACCCTGTAACGACCGATTCCCTTCTCTCCCCCGGTCGCCTAGCTGTGTGTAGTGTTCCCATAGCAGCATTGACCGCTTCTATTTATATAACACTCTCGCATCCCTTCACCGCGCGCGACCGCGCGCACCATCTTCGCGCTTCTGTCCGCCCCGTCATCCACCCCCGGTGGTGGGTCGTCCTGCCACAGCGCGCTCGTGTCTCGCATGGACGTACAGAAATATGTACAGGTGGAAAAGTTTTTCCTCCCCGCGCCTCTCTTACACACACACACACACACACACACACACACACACACACACACACACACACATATACCATCGGTACTTAGTTGTGTGCACGTACATTACATATTTGCACACTCACACGTAAGTTCGCAGAGAGGCGAACGCGTGGGCGGATTGATCGCGAA